AGTCATTTTTTGTCGAGTTTATGTTGCATTGCACGTCGAGCCTTTAGTAATTTCAATGCATGAGAAAAATAAAAAAAGAGCTAACACCTTTTTTTCTTGGTGAAGTAAGAATCAAAGCAGTAATATGAAACGAAATTTCCCATTTAAAAAAGAAGTTGATTTTGTCGCCATCTCAAAAGTTCAAAAGAGTTGAGTTCAAAAGAGTCATTCAATTCAACGGTTTATTTTCTTGACTAGAAGTCAGAGCCAGAAAAGTCATTTTTTGTCGAGTTTATGTTGCATTGCACGTCGAGCCTTTAGTAATTTCAATGCATGAGAAAAATAAAAAAAGAGCTAACACCTTTTTTTTCTTGGTGAAGTAAGAATCAAAGCAGTAATATGAAACGAAATTTCCCATTTAAAAAAGAAGTTGATTTTGTCGCCATCTCAAAAGTTCAAAAGAGTTGAGTTCAAAAGAGTCATTCAATTCAACGGTTTATTTTCTTGACTAGAAGTCAGAGCCAGAAAAGTCATTTTTTGTCGAGTTTATGTTGCATTGCACGTCGAGCCTTTAGTAATTTCAATGCATGAGAAAAATAAAAAAAGAGCTAACACCTTTTTTTTCTTGGTGAAGTGAGAATCAAAGCAGTAATATGAAACGAAATTTCCCATTTAAAAAAGAAGTTGATTTTGTCGCCATCTACTTCGGAAATCAAATGGACAAAAAGGTTTCAGGCTCCGTTGAACTTTGAATTTTTGAGCAAGGCATTAAAAACCAGAGTCGCTGCTACCTGCAATCTAGGTGAGCTTGTGTGAAAAACTACTAGACATTGGTCGCTAAAATATGTATCGGGAATATCGTAGGCCGAAGAATTTTGGTTGTTGAAAACTAAATCTATTTTTTCCGCCCCTGCAATGAGTCGCTGAACTGATTCAACCCAATTTCGAAAACATGGAAAGAAATAGCTAATAAACCGAGTTCGTTGCTGATGATAACCCTAGTTTATTATAGGTTTAATTAAATTGCCCATTAGAAATATGTTAAAGACAAGAAAAAATGCAAACTCGTGAAACAAAAGCGGATAACCGTTTTAAAAATTACATAATGTTGAAACATCTACTGGCACTAACACGTGGCTAATAATCAAAATTTAAAAAGACAAGAATAATTACCACTAAGAACACACACTGAAAAATTGAGTGTTCGAGAATCGAAAGATTGTAAGAGAACCTGAATTCATCGAAATAAGTTGCAATAACGGGTTCACCGTCTTTGCCATAACTTCAGTCACTTCTACAGAAGACTCATGTTTGCGCCATTAAAGATTTCTGGGCTCTTGATTTTATCGGATAACCAAGTTTCGGAAAAAAACGAGGCCAATAACAGAATTAGTAAAGATTATCTTTTGCCCATAGTACGCAGAGACTGATAGTTAATTGGTATCGAACTCAATTTCACAAAGCAATAGCTGTTTTCAGTTGTCAATAGAATGCCCTAACTGAAAAGTCCACTTTTTTATGCTGAAATATTTTCTTTCTTTTCCTTCTTTCGTTCATTTTATAACTTGCGGAAAGGATTTTCTTTTCAATTTCAAATTCCGCTTGAGACAGAAGTTCTTTCATAAACATGGATCTTAAAACGAAAAATTCTATGGTTTTTGAAATCGTTTTCTTTTCATTCTTTTTATGTTTGGTTTACATAGATGACATTTTTGCTCTGAGGAACACATCGGGCTCAATGCAGTTGTCTAAAATCCACAGACAGTTTTAAAGTTTCCCGAGATAAATCACATCGTGACTTGATAGATTTTTGCATATTACAAGGGAACCACCTGGAACAATTTTCACAGCATATGGCAGAATCGTCATCTTTTGACATTTATTGCATTTAGCAAACTTGATGAACCTATTTGAGATGAAATAGTTGCAGCTTTTAATTTTGAGCTACATAGAGAATAGAAAAATAGACGGAGTTTAAGCTCTAACAAGCTTACGGAAAAAGTAAAAAAGAGCCAACAGACAGTTGCAAAAAAAATAAAAAACTCAAGTAAATAGAAAAACATAGCCAACTGAAACTTGGAGAGTAATGAACGCAATAATACAGAAAAAAAACACTGACTTTGTTGAAAAAATTTCAACTTTCAAATTTCAAAGAAAAAATTTGATGCCTTTCAGCTCTTTGAATTTCTGGAACACTTTATGATTGCCACTTGTCTGATAAAAAGACCCAAGTTGAGAAAAAATGATCAATAGGTAAACTTTTTATTCCACTGCAAATCTACAAAAATAATTCCACTTTCGAAACTAGAAATCGTTCACGTTTTTTCGCGCCATCTCCACGTTCGTATTTGTAGAGTGCTATTCACGTAACTTTCAGCAGATGAATTTCCAGTGAACTCAACAAGTCCATATGTACCTAGTGCACTTCTAAATGCATTAATATGTACACAGAGGCGAAGCTGAGCTTCTCACCACTTGCGATACAAATTTGATTTAAATCAAACAGAAAAATTTGAAAAAAAATCAAACAATAGTTTTTGTCAATAAAAAATGTCAAGGAAACTGCAGTCTCAAGCAGTTGTGTCACCTCTACGCCAGATGCTTGATTGAATTTGAATTTATAATTACCATGTGGTACCAAAGCCGAAAATACCTGAGCAAAAACTTTTCATGCAGAAAAAAACTCTGAACAAATTAAAAAAAAAATTCTGTCCTTCCCCTCAGACAACACGCACGCATGCAAACTTTTTTCGATCCAGGAACGGCGCAATAAGTGGCTACTAGGTCGATATAAGTTAAGCCGAAACTTATTAACCCGATAAAAAAGACAAAAATGAAAACAAAAATTGACAAATCGAGTTGGTAAAATTACAACTAGTATTAGAAACAAACTTCGATTCTACCGGATTTTAAAAAAAATTAAAACACTTAAAGCAACTACGGAGAAATTTGTTTACAGCAAAAAAAAACGATTCTTAGATCTGGCAACTAAGCCGACAAAACATAAGCAGACAAATTATAGGCCGAATTTTTTCCAACCGGAATATTTACCATTTGAAAAACAGGTCCTAGTCAGATTAGAAACCAAGACCTTTACCGTCCTAGGCGTATTCGTTACCTCCAGGCTAAGTGTGCAGGAGACACTAAGAAACTTGAATTCATTATGAACCAAGGTACCACAAGTTCAGAAGAGTCCTGTGGACTAAGTTGTTTACGGGGGGAAAAGTCTAGGACCCGATTGCAATACCCCTGCTTATCGCAAGGGTAATGAATGCACATCTGTAATTATTAGAACATTATAGGAATTTTCCTGAAAAAAAAAACAAAAAAAATACCAAAACCTATATACGAGTCTTCACTACGTTCATTTCTCTTAAAAAACCACTAACTCATTCGTTGGAAAAAAATGGTAACTTACAAATTTCGAAAAAAAAGATGGCCTTAAAGCTCCTTGAACTTCTAGAACAATTTCAGATTGACAGTTTTTGATAACATTAGATCAATTTGAGAAAACTGGATCAATAGAAAAATTTTTCATTTTGCGTGGAAATTTCAGTTTCGAAACTAGAAGTTGAACATGTTTTTCCTGACCTGTACACTTTTGCAGTTGGATAGTAGAGCTTGCTTTCCTTTAAAAAAAAACGAAATGAAATGAACTTAAAAAGAAATCGAGATGAACTGAACTTAAAAAGAAATCAAAAGTCAAACTGCGATAAAGTAAATTTGAGCCGGAACAAAATTATGAATTTTCCTGAAAAAAAAATCAGGACCTATCCCGAGAGTTTTGCAGCTAGTTTCAATTGGTGAGTTGTATCGGTATCATCATCATCATGCAGCCCGATCTGTAAAATTTCTTCGTAAACAAGGGCTACCCAGTACTAATTGAGATTTGAAATTATTTAGAAATCTCTTTATCTACGATTGGCACAGCGTTTCGATTTAAGAGACACCAAAGTATGATTACCAAAGTATCATCCAACTACTAATACTTTTTTCCTCAAACTCAAGCCCTTTCGCAAATTACCCACATCAAAACAAAAAATGAGAAAGTCAAACTTTTGATTTTTTTCCAATATTTTTTCAGAAAGTAAAAGTGCACAGCAACAATGACCTCCGCACCATTTCATTTAAAAAAAAAACAAAATATAGTTGGTTACATATATTGAAAAATTTAAAACCGTAAATCTTCCCATTCTCAAAAAATCATAAAAAACATAGAAAAGGGTAGGATTACTCAATTGATCCAGAGAGAAAAAACTTCGATAAATGTTAGAATTAGAAAACATTTCAAATTTGTTCCACGTATTACCCAGAATTTGTAACCTGGGTTCAGAGCTGCACAGAATATCGATTAAAAATCTTCAATCATGAGCTTTTGGACAATTTTATTCTAGGAAATTATCAACTGGTTAAACTTATTTTTGAGTAGTAGTATTCAAAAGAAATTTTGCTGTCAAGGGTAGGTATACTGCTGAAATTTCCCTTTTTTTGGTTACACTTTTTTTTCACTAAATCATTCTTATTGATTAACTATCGATTTTACAAACCAACAGAAGTCATAGCAGGATCAGAGGCGCCTGAAAACGGGCTGCAAAGTTCCGCGGCTTTCTCGCAATGGGATTTCATTTGGTTGTAAGCGTAGTAAATTTTACAGTGAATGGAATCTACATTACAAACAATTTATTATTATTAATATAGTCGCAAAAAAATTGTGGTGATATGTTACAATAGGTGGTAATTTTGAGTCTAGAGCAGGTATTAATTTGAGAACTATAATGCAAAAAATAGTCATTTCATTTTCAATCACTTGTACTAAGACTAAGATAATTTTTGTAAATACATTACTCTGCCAAATGAGATGCTATTCAAAAATTCAAATTTCACACCTTTTGCTTAGAAAAATGGCTTTGAAATAATTTTTAAATAATGTGCGAAGTATAACAAAAAGCGATTCAGCTATTGAAATTGAACCTACCACCTATTGTTTTATAGCACCAAAATTGTTTATGCTGCTGACTTACACGGTGAATCTGTGACTTGGCTGACAGAACTTTGCCTTCATATTGATCCAAAATCTAAAACATCGAAAGAATTCAATTAGGGAAAAATGGATGTTAGGCAATACAAATTTGGAAGTCGATGACGGTCGTGTCAATCAGCCTCACACAAATACACATTTGTGTGAGGCTGATTGACACGACCGTGAGGCTGCTTCGCACCACTTACGATACAAAAATGAATGACTATAATTACCAGCAAATCAAAAGACAAACCAAAAATTGAAAAAATAATCTTCAAAAAAATCGTTTTTTTGTTAAGAAAAATTACGAAAAGGACAAAAACTTCCTGGAACAAAACTACCTGTACCATTAGAAACATTCTTCGAAACCTATTCCGACCGACAGAAATTAGAAGACACGAAAGTCTAAAATATTCAAAAAATTTTCTGTTTCCACTAAAAAACAAGTCCCGACAGGAATCGGACTTCATTGCTATGGCATCTCAAACATGAGTGTTACCACTGCCTCAAATGCACAGAACACTCCTTGATTTTGTAAACGAAACAACTTCCGAAACTTTTTTGTGAATAGCATAAAAAAATCAAAAAATAGCAAAAAAATAGGCAAAATTTCGTGGAACTCAATTGATTGCCCAAAACCGGAAAACACGAAAAAACAGGTCCTGGCCGGATTTGAACCCATTACCTTTCTCTTTTCGGCAGGTACGTTAACTCTATAACGTCTGAATTTTGATTTAATATGAACCAAAGGTAGAAAGATTCAAGTGATTCTGTTAAAAACTAGTTATTAGCCCGAAAAAAATCTATATTCCGTTTTGATAACACTTGCTAATTGCAAACGTAAACAAAAAAAGGCGTATCTTTGAACAATTTTTTTTAAATGAATGAGTCCGGAAACATATTATTCTTATCTGCAAGCGAAAAAAAAACGTGAAAAACAAAAAATGTGCAAAAACTACTGAGCTATTTTATTTGCATCAAAAAATAGAACCGATCGATCAACCAAAAACAAAAGATTGAACCAATTCGGTTACTTGAACTAAAAAAAATGTGAAAACTTTTTCATGTTGATGTTTTTTAAGAGTCTGAAAGGTAAAGTTACAGTTTTTAAAAAAAAAAACATCGAAAAAAAAACATTCGGAAAATAAGCCGACGAAATTAAAGTCGACCTCTTCCAGCGCTGAAATTCTACCGAAAATTTTCGGCACAGAAAAAAAATACTCTCGAAACATTAACAAGAACCTAAAGCCCATAGCTTAAATGCAACTACTACACTAACTTTGGTGCTATTGAAATGAATAAAAATTTTGCCCATTCTGTGAACAAAGTTGTTTACGGGAAAAGTCTAGTACCCGGTTATCAATATTGTTACCTAACGCATCTCTCATGGAACGATGTCGTTATTAGTAGTATTAGGTACCGAGACGCTACGTTGCACCTCGCATACGAACAAAACACGACTGTTCGTATCTGGAGGACACCCTGAATTTTCCGACTCTCCATTAGCGTTTCTGGAGTAGTGTTCAAAACAAAAAGTAAATGGCGACAACAAATTATCAAAAAATGATGACTTTTTCTGAAACATGCCTCATTTCAGTTTTGAAGGTTTTCTAAGCTGGATTAACTCGGCATTTACGCAATAGTGCTGGATTTCTCGCCTGTTGTTCCAAATTGACAAAGAATACCGCCAAAAATGGCTAGTTAAATTTCGAAAATGGTCTGCAGAAAAACCACCCCGAGCACAAATATTCTGTCACTTTCTTTGAGAGCCGGAAAAATTACAACAGATAACACTAGAAGAAACCAAGTCTTCGTATGCTATCACAACTCAAAAGATATCGTTTTTCTCTTTTCGCTGTTTTCCGGTCGAAACAAAAACAGTATAAAACTCCGGCCATTAAAAAAGAAAAAAAATAGGGTCGATTTTCCTGACAAAATACGCGCTGCAAACCGGTTTCCAACCTCTTTTTTCAACCTTGATCTGATCAACAAGAATTTTTAACAGACATGTGTATCTAAAATGATATTTCTTTTGTATTGAATTCTACTCATTTAATCTTACAGCTTTCTCTGTGAGGTCGGCAATTTCGCGCATCTGTTTTTCTCCAACTGTTACAGACCGCTTCCTTCCCGTGAACAAAACTCTGTCTCTGTGCTTCAAATACGACACTGACATTCCACACACTAATGCACCGCTCAAGATCCCGAAAAACTTCAATAGCGATTTCTTCTTCTGTTTTTGTTCCAACTCGGGAAGTTTAGATAGTTTTTTCCTCATAGACCTGCCTAGTAGAGCCGCACTAATCCGGCCACCGAAGCTAAGAGCTGAATAGATTATTGGGTGGAAATGTCTAGTTTGTTGTACTCCAATGGGTTCATGTAACACATGGGAGGACTTAATTTGAAATGATGGCTTCCGCTGGCGACATGTTACTCGCGCAAATAGGGTAATCATGCCTCTTTATGTTGTATCTATATGATTAATCTGAAATAATCTGCAGCTCTTCAAAATTCGAAAAACCGTAAAAATTCTAGGAGACATTTCAGTAAATTGAAGCGAAAATACAAACAAAACCATGCAGAATTAAACTGAAATCAGCATCATTATACCCTATTGCACTCAAATTGCGAAATAATAATAAAAAAGACTCACAGGTTATCAAAAAAAAATCAAATTTCAATACTGAAGTTGATCAAATTATAGTTCCTCGAAATCATCAGGGTTGTTAGCAGCCGAGGCAGCATTCGCCGCTTTGTCTTTCGCTTCTGAATACTCGTACTTCCGTCTGATTATCTCTTTAATCCTCAGCGCCTTCACGACTTTTTTCCAATTGCCTATTGCCCTTGTTTCTCTCACTTTCGCTTCTGCCGCACGTCTTTTCTCCTGCCAAAATTCTCGAAGCAGGTCCTCGTTTTCCGCACACACAACGAATCCCTCCAGAACTGGCCTCGCGTGAAAGCCACTGAAGTCCCAGCCTCGCATGGCCGGAACACAGTCCACATCCAGTTCTTTCGCCACCTTATCAAGTCCTGGCAGGTCTAAATAGACAGATCCTGGTGGCAACATGTGCATTTTGAACAGATTCACGTTATTGTACTCATTACGTGGGATTCGTCCATCGACTACAGGAGGCGACTTGTATAGTTCAACTTGCCAATCGCCGAACAGTCCGACCATTGGAACCTCTTGGCCTTCTAGTTTCCGCAACTTGAACTTCGATATCAAGGGACGCACATATTTAACCGCCTCCTCCCCTTCTTTTATACTCATTCCTTCCTTCATCCACGTTTGCTCTGTGTGACAAATTTTGACACATTTCCTAGAAAACACCGGCTCGTTGCGAACGTAGCCAAGTACTGGCGCTGTTTTCGGGTGCAGCACTTCAAATTTCAGCAGATGGCGCTCCAACACGTACAAGGGGTGGTCTTTTAATTCCGCGACTGTGCCTGGAATCGGCATGTTTGCCATTTGGTCTTGGATTTGAATGTCTTCTTTCGCATCAGCAGTTTTTTCCAGGGGCGCAAATAACTTGCATAATGAGCTATACCATGTTTTGCCTTGGTGTTTATCAATCCAGTCTAAACGGGTTTTTTGGTTGACTGATCCCCATCTTAACGCATATCGTTTCGTAACATCTTTCATACGATTTTGGTTATCGAAACTGAACACATAAGAAACTGGCTTCTGGGCTTGTTTTTCTAATACATATGGTTTATTGTAGATTTTATCAACAGGTGAGACAGGGATCCAACATTGCTCTTTAGCGAGATACACTTCGCACCAAAGATTGATTCCGAAATCTTGTGAATCAATTTCGGATTCCTCGGCTTCATCAGAAGCTTTTTTAACCTTCGAAGTTTCCTCTTTTTTATTTGATTTCGGCTTCATCTTTCCAGTCTTTGCAAAATTTTTGTCGACTTTCACATTTTCTTCTTTGAAATAAGACGATGTGGTTTCGTTACATTTATTTAAATCACTACTTATCAAGCTGTTTCTGTCGGTGTAGTTTTCAGTCTGCATCAAGAGTGCCCTCATATTTTCGATGTCATCTGGATTAATTTCCGGGGAGTTTTCAGGTTCACTTGCTGATTCCATTTCACTGTCATCCTCGTTTGATTCTTTCTGACCGGATTCAGTTTTTGTTTTTTCAGACTTTTCCTTTAATTCGACGCATTTTGTTTCTTGAAGTTTCTTTTCCTTCTCGATTTGATCGCGAGCAGCTAAAATTTGATTAGTAACTTTCCTTTCACATTCGGTCAAGTCACCTTTCGACTTAACGGCCGGCGGTTTTTGACAGTTCCAAGTTAACCTGCACTGGAACCCCAAACTTCTTAGAGCACAAACAAAGATCATAACAAATTCTGCATAATAATTGCAATTTCTAGTTTCAACGTTTGCTGACATGCTTTCAATTGTCACCCGATTTTTCCCAAACAAATTTTCTTTAATTTTAAATACTTTTCCAAACCAAGAATCAAATAATTTCAATGATTCGACATTCCAAGATTTCAACGGCTTCGATTGATGTTCTTTTGGGATTAAGCTAAATACTAACGATTGCAACAGAGGCGAATTACAAATTTCATTTCTGTACCGGCCTGCCGCACAGAAACACATCAAATAGGCCTTCAGCACTCCGATTTGTTGCAGTTTTCTGTTTTTCCGATAAACTTGACCTACATAACTCCTGAAGGCCTCATCTTTGTCTTTCTCGATTACAACTGTGACATCCTGTGAACTTTTCATCTGGGCCAATCTGTTGATAACTTCATTTTTGTTCACACCTTCGATCTCCTCCCACTCTTCTTCAGAATTCGAATCTTCACCAGACAAATTTCCGCTCTTCTTCGATTTCTTTTTACCGGTAGTGGCTTTTACTTTAGTCTTCGCCTGGTCTGATTTAGATAACTCCCTCTTTTTATTTTCAACTGGATCTTTTTTCGAGATTTTATAGGATTTTTTCTTCTTTTTCTTAGGAGCATCCGTTCCACTGTCCCAGGTTGATTCATTTATTGAATCCAGATCATCCATTTTCATCATTTTTTCATCTTCGTCGTCTGCATCAGAAAAATACTCAGATTTTGTTGCTTTCGCTTCTAATTTTGCTGACTTTTCCAAGCATTTCACAGCGTTTATCTTACTTTTTCGTGACAACCTCCCATTTTCAGTTTTTTGGTTTTCTGACGCATTAGATCTGTTTTTTCTATTTTGGGTTTCATTCTGATCATCATTTAACATTGGTTCAGATTTCACCTCTAATTTAGAAACTTTTGGAGATTTCCGCTTCCGCCCAACTTTTGCGTCATCTTTACCTTTACTAGAAATTAGATCTAATTTTGACGACACGCGACCTAAAGGTTCATCATCGGAACAAGGTTCAGCTTTCGGCTCAACAGTTTTTGCAGCTTCATGCACTTCCGTGTCGTCTTCAATACCAGCTCTAGTTGATCGTGTTTTACGTTTACCTTTGGAGCTCATTTTTGAATCACATGAAATGGACAGTTTTCTTTTCAGAGGGTCTCTTGTTAAATTGTTTGTTATTTCCTTCAAAATCGGAGACTGTCTCGCGTTCTCATTTTTGATTGAATCAACTTCAGCATCATTCTTTGATCTGGTACGCATCAGAAATCTAAAATTATGTTGAAAAAAAAATAACAGGAAATACTAAACTCCCGCTACAAAAAAAAATGTTTTTTTTTTCAACCATTGTACTTTGCGTAATGAAAGTTTCTCAACCTGCCGATGATGCACCTAAAGATATCAAAACAAAATATTAATAATAATAATAAAAACAAATTACACAAAATGGGAGCAGTTTAAATTTGCAGAGCGAGTTTCAATTATAAGGAGATTTGTCAGAAGATAATCCATGCGTTGGAACATAAGGTGACAAAAATATATTGATATTACATACATACAAAAAACAAGATCAGGCCGGGATTCAAACTTCAGACCTTAAAATCCAAAAGCACGTGTATAACCACTAGACAATATGAATCTAGACCACTAGATTCCATAATAAAGCCCTATTTCTTACAGATTTGTTTACGGGGAAAAAGGTCAAAATCCCGATTAAACATCACACTCCTGCAGGTGAAACAAATTACAGGAAAAATTGCAGGGGCGGATTTAGGGAAGGGGGGGCGGACGCCCCCCCCCCCTCAGGGATTCGAGACCCCCTGCCGACCCAATGGGTCCCCCCTTTGTACTATTTTGAAATATCCATTTTTGGTGACGGACCCTAAAATTTTTCTAAAGGCGCCAATACATACTAATTTTGAGGGGGAGCGCGCGCCGAAAAAACGCGATTTTTTGGTCAAAATTTTCCAAAAAGTGCCTATAAAAACGCCTTGTTTGGACTGTTTTTTAAAATTTTGCCTGCGGCGCAGAACATTTTGCCCAAACAGGTACTAAACCGTGCTTAGGGAGAGCTCAAAAAATCAATTTGGTCGACCTAAAAAAAAGGTCGACAAAATTATCGCCCCCCCCCCCCTCGAGAAAATCCTAGATCCGCCCCTGAAAAATCGTATTAACTTTCTGTTTGAGTACAGTTTATTTATATCCGCAAAAATTATGCTGTGAAAAATATACTGACGAAAAAAAAACAGCCAGCAGACAGAAAGTCAACGAACGCGAGGAAACAGAAAAAAAATACAAACCTGTGAATTTGTGAGTTAAAAATAGATGGCCTTAAAGCCCTTTGAACTTGAAAAAAATTTGATGAGCACTTTTTTGATAAAATGAACTCAATTTGAGAAAAATGGATCATTATACGAAATTGTTATTCCGCTGAGAATTCTGAAAAATAAAAGTCACTTTCAAAATTAGCGAATAACGTTTTGCTTGGCCTTTTCACTTTTGCTGTCCGATAATGGAGTTTGTCTTCCTTTTGAACGGAGCAAAGCAAATGAACTGAAGTTAAAAATAAATCAAAAGTAACACCGCAAAAAATCAAAAAGGAGCCTAGACAACCTTAAGACATTTTCCTGAAGAAAAACTTTAAAAAATCATCACATTTTTCAGTCTAAACTACGCACATCATTTCGTAACAAGCAGACAAAAAGGAGACCAACAATTAAGTTACAAATACAAGTTCCAGAACTCTTTTCAAGATCAAGAGTCCGCTGTAATAGCAACCAGTAGTTTAATCCCATTTTTCCAGAAATTGAGTATCTATTTAATAATGTTCACGTTTACTATTACCAATGATTCAGTAATTCTGGTGAACAAAATTATACCTGAAAAAAGTCAATGTTCCGATTGAATAAAGCTAACTTATCACAAGCGTTATCAACTCAGAGCAATTTAATACGTTTGGCTTGATACGTTAATTCAGATGAAAAAAATTTGTATGAATCAATGGTGTTGAGTTTTACTAGACATTCCATGTAAAACCAGATATATCATAAAATTAACTCGAAGAGTTTTACAAAATCTTATCGAACTCAGATTGATACTTGAAGAATGTCTGAGATACCAAGAGTGGCAACACTAGTGAGGCTTCTGAGAACACTTTTACCGGCTTCGCATTCACGTGAATTTTCCCCCATGACTTGCCTTCATCCGGTCTAGCTCCCGAGTCGCATCCGTCGAACTCCTGCGCAGTATTCACGAACACCGCATAGTCGCCACCGTGACGCATCGCGTTTGCATTTAGAATGTGATGTTTGGACACTCCTCCGCCGAGAAGAAAAAAGGCAGTAGACTTGGACTTGACAACAATATTCATAATTTTGCGAACGTCTTCAACAATATCAATTGACAGCGTGCGTCCGTCGTGTTTGTAGGCGTGGAAAAAGAGCAGATCCCCGATTCCTCCGTCTGTAAGCGCGGGACAGAGAACAGGGATGTTGTTTTTGTACGCCCAGTAGTAGACTGACTCTTCGTTGTTGATTTCTTTTCCTAGTCGTCGGATAAACCTTCAAATAACATTTATGCGCTAAAGTGACAAATAGATGTTAGGCATACTGTTATGCACCTCAAATCAAATCGCCCAATTCAAAATTTCGCGGTGGCAAAAAACAAAAAAAAAGGTAACTGGCGACTTTATTTCTGAAGAGTTCCTAATTATCAGAGCTGAGTTCTTTATTGAGTAACTACCAGAATCAGTTTTAAAGGCTCATAAATTCGAATTATTTATTCAGAAATCCAATTGGTTCCAAACAAAATAAATACTCCATCCAGTGCGTGAAAACAATTTTTGTATGTACGGTATGGTATCTAAGTTATATATTGTTTGAAAACAGATTGAAATGATTTGATAGTTGAATGAGTACCTCGACGGGGTCCAATGGTATCCGGCATCCTGCTCCTCCAGCATCTTGTCCACGATTGGTACTACCCAGTCTTCGAAGAGGGCGTAGTGCTTCAGAGACAGCAGAATATTTCCGTTCCTAATAATATGAGAAAAATTCAAGAAGAAAAATTGAAGCGGACCATAAGACTTTCATCAATTAACAAAGAAGAAAAGTTTAATAAGATAGTTCTTTATGACTGCAATTAAAAATTTGAATTAGAATACAAGTTTTTCTTTACAACTACTGATTAGCTCAAATTTTTAATTGAAGTAATGCAAAATCTGTAATAAATGACTTTGAAAGCGAGTGCTAGCATTGCAAACATTGCTAGTAGACAGTTGGAAAAAGGTGAATGAATTCGAGGAAACAGAATAAACGCGACTATTTTTTTAAATTCTCAAGTCTCAGAACAAATTATATCACTTAAGAGCTCTTCAAAATTCCAGAAGCTTCAATATTTGCATTTCTGTACTGAGAAAGCTTAAGTTGCTGTCCTTGTTTTGATTGAATTTGAAAAGCGATCTTCAAAATGAATCAGTTGTCAAACTTCCCTTCAAAAAAATTCAAAACCTCTCAAAAAAAGGAACAAAAACTTTGAAAAATCTATTATACAACCTAAATAACTGAAAAGTTACTTTAGTTTGTTTACGCTTCAAAAGTAGCTACTTCACTCCAAAAAATTTGCGCCGACTAAAACAAATCTACTTGAACTTATACACACCTGTTTATTCTCTGCCTGAAGAGATCTTCCCCGTCCAGGTCGAATGAGCCGATGGTGGTTGGGATCAAGCACTTGATGAAGTCCTCTTCGATACCCCCAGCAGTGCTCACTATACAGTCCACCATCTTGTGCTGCACCAGGTACCTGATGATCTCCCGGGTGCCTGCTGTCATCAAGTTGGACGTGTAGCCTAAACAATCCAGCTATGTCATGAATTGCAGAAAACCGTTCTTAAATAATTATTTCTTCAATTTTTGGCAGACCATTTACAACGAAGATTAAAAAAACTTACAATTTTAAAATTTTCTTTTTTATACAAAAACGTGCTTTTTTGAGTCATTACAGTCTAATAAATCTCACTCCAGAAAAAAAAAGAAATATAAAAAAAACAATTGAATTCAAACTTTTAATAAATGCATTATGAAAGTTGAACTTGAATGAACTGACTCATGAAGATGGTACAGGGCGTGGGTTTCCAGTCCACATCGGGCATCTCCTGTTTCTTACTCTCCTCCTCCGTCAAGTGTCCCTTCAACTTCGCCTCAATCATCCTCTTCAGTTCCACCACAGCTTTGCCAAACATCGTCGCCTGCGAGAATGCGGAGTTTGAATAGTGTTCTCACACTTCTTTTAAATTGGTGAGTGAAATTGTCATGAAACATTTATGCGGAAAAACTTTTTCGAGACCAATCTTTACAAAACATTTAGCGACAAGAGATCTTAACAGCTTAGAAAAAGAAATCATGGTCTCATTGAGTTTTTGATCCAAAGAAAAGCAAAAGTTTGCGGGCTATATTAAAAAAAAGTCATTTAAACTTGAGCAATTATCAAACTTTCAGCTGGAAGGCGATCTTCGTTATTTATATAACGTTATTTACAGCTGAAAAAAAATGACGCATTTGATAACAATTCTCATTCGTCTGCTATTTATTACCAGAAACTTTGTTTAACCTTCGGTTTTTTTTTGATACTTACTATCTGCAGTTGAGATATAATATCTCCACTTCTCCATTAGAAAAGTTATCAATGAAGAATTACGAAAACACCGACCTGAAGTCCAGTCGCGAGAGATGCCTCCGACAACATCTGGTCGAAATCAACGGTGTTTCCACACTTGGCAAAATCAAATCCGGATACTCTAGTGTTAAACTGATCCGGATATTTGACCTCTGTGTAACCTACTTGAGCTGCGAGGTCAGGAGGTAACTTCCCATCAAAACTGTCGCGATGCTCTTCCATGTTGAAGCTAATTTTTTAAATGGCAGATGTCCGACAAAAAACCGGTTTTTAGTATTTGCGTACCTATAGTGATACAGTTGCGGACTTAGATCCCTTCTAGAATCGAACTCGTTTGCCAACCCAAGCATCACTTTTGGTATAAATTTAGGAAATTTATTTGACTGTAGGCTACTTTGGGTGATATGTTACAATAGATGGTAGGTTCAATTTCAATAGCTGGATCGCTTTTTGCTATACTTCGCACACTATTTATAATTTATTTCAAAAGCCGAATTTTTTGGCAAAAGAAGTGTAAAATTTTGAATTGCATTTCATTTGGCAGAGCAATGTATTCACAAAAAAAATCTCAGTAGTAGAACAATTGATTGAAATTGAGATGATTATATTATGCATTATAGTTCTCAAATTTAATACATGCACTATACTCAAAATTACCACCTATTGTAACGTATCACCCAACTTTGATTTCAACAAAAAATATGTACTTTGCCAAACTTCTAAAAATGATGCCTTATAAGGCGAAAATTTTTCAAAATTTTTTCACTTTGAGATCTCAAAAAATTATTGTTGCCGGCTTGAAATGGTAAGAAAAAAAAATGAAATGAGGTGAAAATCTGGCTCTAAATCCGCGCCCGCAATATTCGATATATGTATGTGTTTTTTCAGTATGAGAATATTACAAACTGGAGTTTAAATCGTTATCTGCACAAGTTGATGCGCAATTGCTGTCAGATCATTAAACTGAGCTAAATACAAGATGGCGATAGTGGAAGATTCAAACACTAAACTGATCGCTAGTTGATTTAAGATACTGGTTAAAACAGCAGATGTAACGCAATCAAGCAAATTACTTCAAGCTCACCTTCATTATTAATCAACATCGGAGTATCTATCTTTAAAGCACAACGCTCCATTAATAACGCTGTTCATTCAAAACAGTCATTCCCAGAGGCGAATTCAAACAGAAACATAACCAAATCGAAAAAAAAAACGCAAAATTATCGTCCATCAAATTTAAAAACAAAGAAGATGCAAGAGCTTCATCTCACTTGCTATAAAAAATGAATGGTAAACAAAACATAGCCAACAGATGGTTCAAAAACTGTAAAAGAACTAGGAAGCCGATAAAAAGTTGAAGAAGCCGAAATTCTTTATTTTGAAGAAAAAATACATCACGTTGAATCTATTTGAATTGTTCAGGTTCGGCGATTTTTTTTTTTAGCTTATCCCATGTAGAAACAACAGGACTAAAAGGGAATTTATATTCCACTGAGAATTCAGAAAAGGAAAGTCCATTTTTGCAATTAGAAATCATTCACGGTTTTCGAGATTTTCACAATTTAGCTGTTCGATAGAGGCATTAGCCTTCCTTTAACAAACGGAAATGAAGTGAACTTAAAAAGAAATCAAAAGCCAAAGCACAAAAAAAAACAAATTTGAGTGTGATGAAAGTTTCAAACTGTTTCCAGGAAAAAAAAAGCCAAGAAAATCATCAAGACCAACATTATAGACAAATAGGTTGCACGCACAAACATCAGAAAATTGCAACACACATCCAATATTTTACAAAAAAATTTCTGAAAAGAAACATCACGCATGCGAAAATGCTTTTGGCGAAAACAAGCAAACAAAACTGCAAAAGGGAGTTTAAGGGATTCAAAAAATTACCAAAACGTGTCTGGAAAAATAAGTTGGTAAAATCTCTATTAGGAAAAAAAAGCCAAGGAAAATTTCCAGGAAAAAAAAGCCAAGAAAATCATCAAGACCAACATTATAGACAAATAGGTTGCACGCACAAACATCAGAAAATTGCAACACACATCCAATATTTTACAAAAAAATTTCTGAAAAGAAACATCACGCATGCGAAAATGCTTTTGGCGAAAACAAGCAAACAAAACTGCAAAAGGGAGTTTAAGGGATTCAAAAAATTACCAAAACGTGTCTGGAAAAATAAGTTGGTAAAATCTCTATTAATTTTTTGCGTAAATTCAACGACACGCAAAAAAATGGGGTTCAACTGTCTGCGAATTTCACTTGCAGAACATGAGTACTAGCGTGAAATAAGCAACTGAGATAGAGGTATCTTAATAAAAAATTAACACTCAAAAGTATGGCCTAATTTTTTGAATACTATGAGCTAATAGATGAATCTGGAAAGCCAATCGGTTTATTTGAAGCGAGAAAAAACAGAAAAAAGAAAAGGGGAGAGAGAGATATGAAACCTGTTTTTCTCAATTAAAAATTAGCATAAATTATTAGCTTAAATGATATTCAGACTTGAATAATTTGCAAAACTTTGGTATCTTCATAAATGGGGAAAAACTTCTCCACTCTCATTATTAAGCTTTAAATGAACCTTTTTTTCGGTAAATTTTTGCAGCAATTTATCATTCCAGCCTTAAACGATTTTATTGTCAAGTTTATAGTTTGAATCTGATTTTCCCTGCAAGAAAAACAGACAACACGATGCGTGTAATTACTAAACAGACAACACGATGCTCTTCTCGTGTAATTACAGCTCGAATGTTGGGTGGAAAAAACCATGATGATAAAATACATAACCCTGTATTTTCCCATCGCTAGGTTGCAAATTAAAAGAAAAACCAGCACGAGACTTATATCAGTGACATGGCAATCCGTTGACATAAGTTGCCACCCTTTGTTTCTCATTAAATTGTGATGCGTATCTCGATGTAAAGCAGCTGATTGTGGATTGGCAGTAAAGTGACCAAAGTTCTCGCTTCGCAGTCAAAAGTTCGAAGGTTTTAGGTCCACCATGATCCGTATCCACTGCTTGCATGTGAGGCAATAACTCCCTGCCAACAGGAACATAAAACAAATGAACTAATGCGTGTTTCAATAAGGGTCACAACAGCGGTTCTCTGTTAGGAGCTGAATAGTTTGTTTGGTGGTCCTTTTTTGTACATAAACGTTCTTCACTATTTGCTCTTGATAACATGAAATTATTTTAAAATTTGAGTAATTAAGACAGAAAATCAAATTCAATTCAGTTAAGAGGTAAGATGAGCAAATTAAAACCTGGGTTTTTATTAGCTGATTAAAATCAGAGAACAAAATTCAGCAAAATAAGGCAACACAAAAAGGCGTTGAGCAATATGGATATGGTAACATAGAATCAAGCAAATAAATTAGTGTTTAACAATACTCATGATGGCAGTTTTTGGATTGCTTAACAAGACTTCTAGTAAAAAAAATCAACATCGCAGAGAACTGCGATGTATAAACAACGACGTAGTCGAGCTTAGGTCTTTAATCGATACGAGTTTTTTTACTGAAACAGTCAAGCATCTGGGATCCATTAGTTCATACTGAGATACTTCGGTCCAAAGTACATATGATTTCTATTTGATGTGAGGCAAGATCGTGAGTCACAACGATTAACTAGATTTTTGCAGATCCACAATCATGTACTATATTTTGTTCTCAGCAGATCGTGGGATTGGGTTCGGGGTCATGGACCATTTGATGTGTTTCTCGTAGAAGGCGATGACCTTTTGAGGACAACAAACATCGGCGTCCTCGGCTGGAACCCACTCTGAAATGTCGTCTACGTCTGCCCACTTGACGAAGAAGAAGTGTTTCCCATCCTCCACTTTGGCACTCTCAATTTGTTCCACTTGGAAGCCTCTGTCGAAGCCCTTAAGCGTGGCACCTTTCGATCCCGGCTTCTGAAATTACATCACAGCCATCTCATATTACACTGATTCGTTTAGTCAAGAAACCGTGCACAAAAAAAACGAAAACCCTTTATGAACATCAACCAAATTTTCAACCAAAACTGCGCTGTAGTTGCACTCAGCTGTAGTTCAGCAACCTTGAATACCCACCCAAACTAACTAGAACTGCCAAAATTACAGCCCAAAAAAAACTAACTATTCCACTGCAGTTAAATAGTGGTTTGCCGATATCGGATAACTTATTAGCAATTGGAACAGATTTGCAACTTAGAGCAAGAAAACTCTATTGGCTGATAGGTGAGCCATTTGGTGAACCGAAAGGGCAGAAACAGAACATTCTGTGAGGTTGGTCATTCAATATTTCAATCCTCGATGCGACATTTTGTCTTCTGTGATAAATCACTTTGTTCAATCCCCTTGTCAAATAAAAGTTAACTCAACCATAAAATTAGAGTTTTATCAAATGGCTAAATAGTAGATACGTGAGGAAAAGTTCGAGTTTACTTACCAAATACCTCTTCTCCTCAAAGTTTTTGAGGAACACCTCGTAATGCTCTACCTCCTCCATGGACTCTTCGGGTTCCCACGTGTTCCACTTGCTGTCCCAGCCCCTCCACTTCACGTACAGGAATATAACGCCCTTCTCATTCATCCTCCGCTTCAATATCTTCTCAACTTCATACTCGTCTTCAGCCATGTCTTCTTCCTCTTCTTCGCCTTCTCCGTTTTGCTCCCCCTTTCCTGTTAATTCACATGGTTGAAAAGCAGCAACTTCCTCGAATTTTGTGTTAACATTCCGAAATGGACCGTTTTTTGCAGTAAAAAATAATTTTTTGTTTCTAGTCGTCCCTCGCTTCTTTGTTAGTTTCATAACGGATGGTTTTTAATGCTGCGTTTTTGCAACGGCTACGAAAGTCCAGTGCTATCAATTCATTAAAAAATAAGTTACATAAATTTGCACGGTTTTCAGGGCTTTTTCGAGAATTTAATCGACTATCGAAGCGAAACCAAAATAGATAAGATTTCAAGAAGTCGGATAAATCCGTGCATTTTATTTAAAAAAGAACTGCGCATTATCTAAACTTGCCTTCTGATTGCTTCAGCGCTTATTTCTGCATTGTCGATGTTTTATATGTAGAAACAATAGTCGATTTCAAATGAAAAGTGTTTACGTGAGTCGCGGTTTTTAAGGAAGATCAAGAATGAAAGGCTTTACATTGAGTCAAACATTTGATCTCTATTCCTAACCCTAAGAACCAAAAACAAACTTTAAACTTAAATTTGGCTGACTTTTTAAAAAACTTTAAACTTAAATTTGGTAGAATTTTTTTTGACTCAATATAAAAAAAAAATTATGAATGGGAAACAGGCCTATCCAACACCTCCACCAAAACTTCCCTCATGTTATATCCTAAGGTGGTTAAGCCAATACAATAATTGCAGATATTTTAGACAGAGGCGAGGCGGAGCTTCACACCACGTAAGATACAACACAAAGATAAGAAACAAGAGTAAAAAAAAAAAAAATTATGAAAAAAAACTTGGCCTACCAAAACTTCAATTTCATTCTAAGCAAATAAACCAGACACTTGAATACATATTAGCAATTGAGGAAAACTTAAGAAAAGGAAAAGCTGTTAATCTTTGGGCAGACGCAAGTTGAGCCGAAAAAACGATTATATAAAAAAATTAAAGTTTAAGGTCTCTCCTGAAACTACAATAAACAACACTTGCACTTGCAACTACAATGAAATTTGCTAACAGCACCTGAAAAACTGTAATGCGGTAACGCAGCAGATCAAAACTTGAGCAGAGGAAACAGAGTCGACAATATTTGAGCAGACACAAGCTGAGGTGAAAAAAATCATAAAATATTTTAAAAGTTTCAAGTCCATCCTGAAACAACAATGAGCAACACTTGAATTTTCAAGAACTATGAAACCTGATCACAGCACAAGTGAATCCCCTGACGTCCCAACTAAGCCGACATTATTTGAGTAGACACCGGTTGAGCCGAAGTTTTTTTTGTAGATTTCTTTCAACTTTCAAGTCCCTCCTGAAACTACACCGAACAAAACTTGCGCTTACAAATACAATCAAAATTGCTTAAAATTTCAACGACATACATACAAAAAACTAAGGTCTGACTTGGACTCAAACCCCAGGCCTTAGAGCGTTAAGGCAACGGCCTTACCTCTAGGCCAAGTGGGAAGGAAGCTGGAAGCTGTTCAGGTACAATGATGAAGCAAGTAAGAAAATCAAGTAATATTTGTAAGAAAAGATATTTACGAAAAAAAGTCTAGTTCCCGATTACAAGACACTTGCTCTGACAAAATTAAAAAGATCCAAAACAACTTCTTAAAAACACAGCAAAAATACAGTTGGACAAAAGTTAATGCACTCAACGAAGCCGAAAGAAGAGAGTTTGAGAGAAAACGTACCACCTTATAGATCTTTCAATTCTGAAAAACTTTTAGAATAAAACTTGAACAAACTTACCATTTTTGCGTCATTTTCTCTTAGCGAGCTTTATTTGTCTTTCATCGAGCAGAAGAATTTTGAATGATAACACTTAAAAAACTTTTCGTATCAGGGCACAACAGCCCTGAAAGCTCCGACTGCTTTATTACTGGTCTCGAAAAATTTGCTGATGTTCCTTCCAGGGGCCCATTTCAAGAAAAAATACAAAGAGTCGCATATGGACTTAATTGAACAAACTAACTTAGCTTACACCAATTTGAAAAGTTTTGAATACATGATAACTCGCCATGTTTATATAAATCGGGCTTACGCTTTCATCATTATCGATAGTCTTTTAACGAGCGTATACTTATTGGCAATCTTGGCAAACTGGCAATTTTCAAGACAGAGGCAAAGCTGCGCTTCGCAAGCACTAGCGATAACAAGACAAAAAACATCTCTTTAAAGGAAGAAGAAAAATAAGCTCAAATTAGTTTAAAAAATCGGCTACGACTCGGATTCGATCTGCGATCTAGAGTTTATGAGTCGATGAAATAAAGCAGAGAACAGATTCTATGAAATTTTACGACAGCTCATGAAAAACCGCATATATTGGAAACAACATCTGCAAACTTTTAGTGTACTCTGACTGCACCAAATTACAGGGTTGGTAATTTCGAACTTTTACATTTTTTTAGTTCCCATTTTAAAAGCGTCATCTCGAAAACTTAATGGGCCTCTGGAGAACTTTGAAGGCCAGATTTGCAACCACTAAGAGCACCCTATTATAGGGTTAGGAACCCCAAAATTTTGTGAATTTTTTTAAACCTAAGTTTCCGAAAAAAAAATTAAAAAAAAAACGTCTTATCTCGGATACTAAAAGGATTTGAGCATTCATATTAGGAGACAAGAATTGAGACGCCTGCGTGTACGCTGACAATAAGGTTGTATCTTCATCAAATTAGTATTTTCAAATTTTTTGAATTTCTTTGTAGATAAGTTCTTCGAGAAACTTTGAAAAAGTCAAAAAACGTCAGATCTCGGAAGCTAAAAGCATTAGAGCAGTCGCGTTTAGCAGTCGCTTGTGGCAAGGTTTGCAACTCTTTAGAGTACCCTGACAACACCGAACTATAGCGTTGGAAATTTCAAATTTTGAAAAAATAATTAATTTAAACTTTCTGAAATTTTCAGAAAATTTTTGGAAAAATCACAAAAAACGTCATATCTCGAAAACTACAAAGAATTGAGCAGTCATACTTGGAGGCAAGATTCGCAATCCTGGAGATTACTCTGACAGGACCCAACTACAGGGTTGGGAATTTCAGATTTTACGAAAAAAATTAATACGTTTTCTGAATTTTTTTTTTGAAAAATCACAAAAAACGTCATATCTCGAAAACCACAAAGATTTAAACTGTCATATTTGGAGGCAAGATTTGTAACTCCTTACAGTACTCTGACAGCACCCAAATACAAGATGATTATCTTTTCTTTCTTCACAAGCTGGATAACTTAATCAGAACTGCCACAAAAAAAGAAAATCGGCTACGTGTAGGATTCGAATCTTCGACCTACTGCAATTAAGAGATTTTGAGTCTCACGCACTATCCCCTCAGCCACGCAAGCTTAACAACCAACAAACGCTAGTCACGAACAAAGCAGCTACATATGCTAATAAATTGCCAATGCAATTCAGCAAAAGTGGCACCAAATACAAATAGACTCAATTTTTCAGTAACAATTTGGAATATAACAAACTGAAGGCATCCCTACTAACCACACTATGTATAAATTATTTGTTTCAAAAAATTTATGATATATTGAGTCACAAAAAATTTTATGATATAAATTTCTGAAATCGAGTTTTTGTTATTGTGGTGTTGTTTGAAACAAATAGCTTTTTTTCTGTTCATTTGATAAAATAAAAATGCATCAACTGTGTTAATTTAATACTATTCGAATGTCAAATCACATGCTATCAAAAAGCTGTAAAGATACCCCAAAAGTGGCACCAATATTTGCGACTTAAGTTAGAAAAAAAGGTTCGTACTAATACACAAGCTTCGCAAGTGTAAAAAAACCAATACTACTTTACCTTCTGCTTTTTCTTCTCTCTTGTCAACTTCCATTTTCTCAGTTTCACTCATTGTGCATAAGAGTGCAAGGATGATATTCTCGGAAGAAATATGCTGATCACAGTACAATCGGATATTCTACTTCAGAATGGTATAATCTAAATTCTCCGGTCTAATGAATGCAGCAGCACCATTGAACAATTCCCACGAGCACAAAGTTTTTAGCTCAATGAATCGACCGTTTCGTGCTCTTTTAACAAACTTTCAAACGTCACAAAATTCTTCCACACTTACTAGGCAGCACCAATACGGCAGATTTTCCGTTCGTGAAGACAAAAATCGCAACAATCAGATATCTGAAATTTAATGCAGACGTTCAATATGAAGAAGTTAGTTTCTGGTTCTCCTCAACTCAGTAGAGCGCCTCCGAATGGCTCTACTGGGCTTCCAATTTGGTTGAAAAAACTTGACCTCCATTCTGGTTGCCAAACGTTTCCAAAGACCCGCCTTGAGTACTACTTTACGACAATTATTTATAGTCGAAAAACCCGTGGCCGACAAACACTGAATTTTTTCTAATGAATCCAATCAATGCACTATCAATATGAGTTTGGACAGGCGTCTGGAAGATTTTTTTGACATTGAATTATAATCAGTCGTTCCAAGCTTTTGAGCTCTACTGAAGCCTAGAAGGATCAAACTTGGCATAAGCTTCTGCTTAGCCGGCTATTTGTGGAAGAGCAAAGCGTTTTTGGAAGGGTTTTATCCAAAAACGAGCGTTTTTCAGGGCGCACTCCCCGTAAAAATGGATAATTTGCGCCAATTATACTATTTTTGAGGAGTTCGGCCAAAACCACTGGAAAGCAGCATTTCCTTCCACAAAGAGCCGACTGCGCGGAAATTTTGCCAAGTTTCGTTATTCGAGGCTTCGGTAGGGCTCAAAAACCTATTTAAAAGCCCGTCAAAAAAGCATCCACACACCTGTCTAAACTTATACTGAAGATGAGTTGATAAGCTTCATTATATCTTGATGTACATTACGGTACTAATACTTTATCAGACCTTTTCACCTTTCCACTAAAATTAGACACCCAAAAGGTGTGGAAATACAAAAAGCAATTCAGAACATAGATGAATTCTATTAGATTAAATTAAGTGTCTAATCTATAAGATCAGATCTGAGTCCGGGATGGTCAAATTTGAATCACATGTGATCATCCATGGTTAAGAATCTGACTAATAAAGGTATCAAGGAGTGTTTTAATTAAGGAGTGTTAAGGAGTATTAAGGAGTGTTTTAATTGTTTTATGGATTCCAGGAAAGTTTTCAACAAGCATAAATTGAAGCCCCCCCCCCTATTGTATCTACTAAAGAACATCCACCCTAGTAAATAAAAACAGTAAATTCGCACTAGAGCGTTGTATGTTAGTTCGAATTTTGCTGCATTCTGATTAGTAGAAAATTCGCTGCTAGTAATCTACTTAACATTCTCCCCCCTTTCTTGAAAGGGGGGGGGGGGGGGAGATTGTTAAGTAGATCCAAATTGAATAACAAATAGTTTCAAGAAATCAACCAACAAACAAAAAAATCATTTTCTCGACCACTGATTTTTAGAAAACTGAACTGAGCGGTAATTTTATAAACAAAACTAAGCGACTCGATTCAGTTTGGAACAACATTTTTAGCCAATTTAATTCGCTAAGCGTTAATACAGAAACTATTAATGTTTAACACCTCGAATATCACAGATTTCAAGAAATGCTAGTTTTCAAAAACGATAAGACAAAGCAACAACAAAAATTGAGATCTATTTTCATGCAGCAAGTACAGTGTGACTTTATCCAAAGTTCTAATTATGGATGCAATGCACAAAATTGTTCAGAAGATAACTATGCAATAAATTGTTCGGAAGATTCGATGCAATGCAATAAATTGTTCAGAAGATTCAAGCGAGATAACTAGGTGAAAATTAGGTAAACTATATTGGGTAACCTTGAAAATAAACAAAATCAGATTGAATGCGAATCGACTATTTTTCTGACACTGGAGCTAAAAACGAGCTATGGTCTAAGATGGACTTTTGTTTGACAGAGTTTCAGTTAGTCTAAAAAGCACTCACAGGGATACGAGTGGTTAACATTCCAAAACATATTTCAAAAAAAATTCTACATGAAGAAAAATTGGTCTGAAATGTTTTTCCGTTCGAATTACATTACCGCTAGACATGGATTAAATAAAAAAATGGGCGTGAATAAGAAAGCCTCATATCAGGAGGCTTCTTGGAAGTAGTGCTCCTTAGAGGGTAAAAACCATTAAAATAAAGTTTACAAGTAAAACTGATTAACAGGCAAAATAAGAAAAAAAAACCTAACAGAACGTATTGAAAAATCAAAGTTGTTCAAAACGTTCAAAACTTGTTGATTGTCGAACGTACAAATTTAGGAAATGCATTCAAAGATTTTGTTAGAAGGAAAAATTAACCTGAAAACAGTCTGGTTCGATTTGAAAGCCTGTTTCGCAAAAGTTAAAAATTCCGGAATCGTTAATTTATTTTCACTTACGCTCAATTCTTGGGTACATAGAGACTGATAACATAACGCAAAAATTAGCTGAAATTATCCTGATCAAGCTTCAAAATTTTTTTATTAAAATCTGAATAAAATTATGTGGAATTACTTGATCAACAACAAGTTGATTCAAATAAGAGAAGATATTAGTCGCAAAACGGAAATATTCAGCAAATATTTCTCGACGATTCCAGATACGCGTTTTGTTTAATATATGATTGAGCCAAAAAGTCAATAGACAGAAAAGTAGCAGTAATAACATCCATGACCAGATAAAAAGGAAGTTGCTAATGCAGCCACTAAAAATATTTTGAAATAAAAACAAGGCTAGCCGGTTACAGTGCTAGTAGCACAGAATGTTCCGACTGTTGTCTAAAAAATTACAAAAAAGTTTTTTGAAATTAGTGTTGTTTTTCTGTGTGATGTGATTAAAGGGTCTGAAAATATTCGACTGTTAGACAAATTCGACATTTATAGTAAAATTGGCAAAATGGACAACAGCTTTTGTAGAAAAAATGACTAGAAAACTTAAAAAAAATCATAACAAATTTTTCAAAAAAAATTTTCAAAGTTTTTGCGGACTTTTTTTGAACTTTTGAAGATTCTGATTCCCAAAATGGCGTTAAAAAGCTCTAAGAACTAACTTTAAGATTAAATTTACAATTAAAAACAAGTAAGTTATTGTAAACGGCTTAAATTAAGCATAAACAAGCCTGGTCGCTGCTCGCGAAGTCAAAAATGTCGAACAGATTTTTCTAATGCACTTCGAATCACAATGAAAGCGCTTTGTTATGATCTCTACTTCAACACAGTCTGATGATTATTTGTGGTACCTGATTTTACGAGGAAAAAAACAAAAACAACCGAATACAAAGCTCCTCCCCATTTTCAAGGATCGGAACAAAAAAACTAAATCGCCCGAAAACAAAGTTCCTCCTCCCAAAAAAACAAATTAGCAGCTAAATTACAGCAAGACATGAGATTAGCCAACATGCAGTTGAAAAAACTCAAGGAACAAGGAAACCGTAAAAAAACGATTTTTTCCGTTATTTTTATATTTTCGAACTTCAAAGACAAAAAAAATCCCAATTTAAAGGTCTTACAGTTTCCAGTTGCACCTTTTACAAAAAACAATTTAAAAAAACTTATTTAATCGCTAAAATTTTCATTACTTTGGAAATTTTAAACACAAAAACCACGTTTGAGACTTGAAGTCATTTGAGAATTGGAGAGCGTTATTTGCCCTGTTTTCAGCATTTGATTTCGAGTTGAAGATCACAAAAAATCAATATTCAAACCGCGAAAAATCTTTGAGGAGCATGTGCAAGTTTTAGGACGTTGTCCTGAAATAAAATCACACAACCTAAATGAGATCTTGCGATACAACACATACATAAAAAGAACATAGAAGTACGAAAAAAATGTTGAAAAATTAGGTCTACTAAAATTTTCGTAAGTCTCGATAAAATTTCAATCCAGGAAAACATGCCAAGCTAAACATTTGAATTTTAAATGAGCGACGGAACAAAACTGACGAAGCTGAAACAAAGCCGACGATTTCTGCGCAAACATCAGTTGAGCCGAAAAAAAATGATTTTTAAAAAAAAAATTGTAGGTCCCCTTAAAAAAAACGAACAACACTTGCAACTATAATGAATATAGCCAAATTACAGTAGGAAAAGAGAAATGAATGCGAAAAAAAACTGATTTGTGTTCTGAAAAAATGTCAACCTTCAAATTTTGAAGAAAAAAATAGATGGCCTTAAGTCTCTTTGAATTTCTAGAACAACTAATTATAAGCACTGTTTTCATAAAGCTAAACCAATTTGAGAAAATTGGCTCAATGGGTAAAATTTTTATTCCGCTGGGAAATTGGTTAATTAAATCCAATTTTCAAAATAAGAAGTCGATTACGTTTTTCGTAATTTTTACATTCGATAGTGGAGTTTGGCTTCCTTTTACCAAAGGAAATGAACTGATTTTAAAAAGAAATCAGAAGTCAAACCGCAAAAAAAGTAAATTTGAGCCTGTACAAAATTTCTTTTCCCGAAAAACAAAAAACTAATCGTCGCGACCTATATAAGAGTCTGAACTACGTTTAACGAATTAGAAAAGATGGCAGCGTCTCAGATTCGAACGCTTGATCCTTCGCGATGCAGCCCCGCTCCTTGCCAACACACAACTGGACACATATTTTCATTAAAATTACTTTCATTAATAAAGCACGTTATCAAACGACTCAAGTGATTCTGTTAACCTCGTTATCACTAGAAAAGTCTTTATTCCAGTTTGATAACGCTTGCTTTTCGCAAACGTAATTAAAACCTGGAATAGAAACTGAATTGATTCAGTTTAAATTCAGTTACTAAGAGTATAGAAAAAAGAGTAACTGAAAGCTCCGCATGTGACAGATAACATTTTGACCTCACGAAAAAGTTTTGAAAACCTTCCTTAGTTTCTATTCATTTACGTCAGATATTGTTTTATTATTTTAATTTAGCACTTCGCAAGTAGTAGCAAACACAGCGGCAGGAAGGATTTTTTTGAGTGACATGACACTCAATTTACATGACCGTATTCTAATTACGACTTGATGGACTTATCTAGATGTATAGCAACTGATTGAGGAGCGGCATTTAAATACTAAGTTTCCGCTAGCCCTCAGTAGTTTTGGGCCTTCTAAGATCTATACTCAATGATTGAGGTGGTGAGGCAACAATTCCCATCCCACAGAAATAGCATATGTTTTAGCTATTTGATGAATGATTATAAAAAGATTCTAGACTAAAAACAGTAAACCAAAAAAAATCAAACCAGGATTTTCGATGACAAATTAAAATCATAGCAAAAAATAGCATAAACTTTAGCATAAAATAGCATAAACATAAGATAAAAATAAAAAAGCATGAAAAGTCGGTTGAATTTTTTGAAAGATGTTCAATTACATAATAGCCAATCAGATTTCAAGATACTAATACTATCCACAAACTTCCGGGTACCGACCTAAATATTTTATATGAAAAAATTGTTGCAAATGAGCAAAACGAAAGAATTGACTTAGCTTTTATTCAGTTTTTTGTTAAGAAATAGCCAAAAGGAATAAAATGTCATGCATCTGTCACAAAATGGTCATGCCGAAATGTTCTTCCAGAACCACGACAAGTATTGCTTTTCCAGAATGGCAAATTTAGTTACAAAAAGCTAGCAAACATTTATGCTATTTTTTCAATGTGATATTTTATACAGTCCCCATATAAACAGACAGACAATTTTATATTAATCATTAATTGTGATGGCACTTTTTGGACTCTTAAGTATAAGCAACAATAAGGCAGAAAAACGAGAAGGAAAACACCCACTTTTTAATCGAAAACTGTTTGAATTTTTGTATTAACTGGATTTATGTGAAACACGTTTTTCAAAACCCTGATTAATGTTCGAGCAGCAAATATTGTTACAACCGTTATCTCTGCAAAATCACTTTTGTATGGTTCATAGCTTTTAGGGGATGGAGGCTGTTTTAAGTTAGTAAATAGCAGCTTCAAAAAAGAATTAAAATATTCTTTGTTTTCTCATTCAAGTTATTGTTGAAGGCTTTCGATTTCCTTGACGTTTAACTTGATTGGTGATTGTTCCCAAAATACGAAAATTTCCAACCGAAATATCTTGACAACGAGATAAATTTTTAAACTTTATTCATTATGCTCAACTTTTGGCTAAAAAGATTTGAATATGATAAACAACTTCACCTTGCTTTTTTAAAATATGCTGGCCTGAAATTTAAAAAAAAAAAGACAATCAACGCAGTTGGATTTTCAAAAATGTTGATTTTTTTCAACTTTTAATTTTCAAAGCAATAATTTTATCCCTTCAAGGCTTTTTGAACTTCAGACATCTTTAAAGACTGACATTTTTCAAAAATACATAGGCAGTTAAAGTAGACAGTTGGAAAGTCGTAATTTCAAAGAAAAAAAGAAATCCTGAAAGCTCTTTTCATTTCTAAATTAATTTATGATTGATACATTTTGCTAAATTTAAACATTTGAGAAAATTGGATCAATACATTTTTTTTATTCCGCTGAGAAATCTGAAATTAAATTCCACTTTCGAAACTGGAGTTCAATCACGGTTTTTGTGACATTTACATTTTCGCTGTTCGATAGTAGACTTTGCCTTCCTTTTAAAAAAGGGAATAAACTGAACTTTAATCGAAATCATTTGTCAAACCTTGAAAAAGTGAATTTCAGCATGAACAAAGTTTAAGAATTCTGCTGAAGAAAAAATCCGAAAAAAATCACCGAGACCTATACAAGAGTCTGGAGCTACTTTCCCGACTCTAAAACAGTTTTTTTGCTGCAACGCAACCGCTAAGGCAAAAAATAGCCAACGGGAAAATGGAAAAGAGTCAATAAACGCAATTAAACAGAAAAAAATACCGACTTGTTTTTGAAAAAACCTTCCACTTTCGAAAAGAATTTTTTTTTCATCAATTCTTAAGAAAACCGATTGAATTAGAGAAAACTGGATTGTTAGCGAATTTGTACAATCCACGTTTGAATATAATAAATTCACCTTTTTGCGCTATTTGAAATTTCGTTATCAGAAAGCGTAATTTTCCCAAAATTTGGCGAATGAATTTGAAGTGAACTTTGAAAAAATAAAAATAAAAACCGCGAAAAAAGTGAACTACAGCGTGAACTATTATCTTGACTTCGTTGATTGACACCCAATAATCACTTTCAAATGTAGTAGTACACAGCTCAATCGTAAGAAAGTTTGGTCTGACATTGCTCAATTGCCCTGACATCTAAAACGACCAAGAAACAGACAGTCGATGGTCCGACAATTAAAACTTTCTACCCGGAATCTTTTCATCTACACTTAATGTCCCGAATCAAACGCTTGAATTGATATGATCACACTCATCGTAGGATTTTCAAATTAATTTAAAGAATCGTCCGGATTCAATATATTCATTCAATTTAAATTTTAAAAAAATGTTTCCGCAAGTTGACAAAAATTTTCTTATTTGAATAGAAAAAAACTATTTATTCCATATGAAAGGGTTCAACGAACTTTGAGATTAAACATAGACAAGGTATTGCATCACTATATAATACAAACTGATACAACTCTCTCATGTTAATTGTAATTGGATAAAATTTCTCAAAACCTAAGACCAAAATATGATGCCGTAATCTTGCGATGTTAATTATATTAAGGACGAGATTTTGGGAATTGCCCGATTTGAGAGCATCAAGTCAAGGAGTTGCATAAAAAATAGGCTGAAAAATCTATAAGCTGCGCCCATTTTTTTAACAAATGCTTAATTTTCAATATTAGATCAAGTGTCTCTATTTAAAAGTCATCGAACGAGGTGCAAAAAAATGAAGTCAATCCGCTATAAATCAGTTTGTTCTATATAATAACACTTCAAATGCAATTTTTCCTACTAATACACAAAAAAAACACTCTAAATTCCCTATGCCACAAAATGTGGCTAAAAACTATTATTTGAAAACTCAATTAGGATGAGAATTTTCAAGTTTTAAAACATAGCCAACAAACAGTTGGAAAAGAGCCAATGAACGCAAGTAAATTGAACAAAAAACTGACATTTTTTTGGAAAAAATCTCAATTTTCGACTTTCAAAGAAAAAAGAATAGATGATCTGAGAGCTCTTTGAAGTTCTAGAACATTTTATGATTGACACGTATTTGACAAAAATAACCCAATTTGAGAAAGCTGGATTGATAAGTAAATTTTTTATTTCGCTGGAAAACCTGAAAAATAAGTTCCACTTTCGAAACTATAAGTCGATCACGTTTTTCGTGACCTTTACAATTTCGCGGTTCGATAGTGGAATTTGCCTTCCTTTAAACAAAGGAAATGAACTGAACTAAAAAGAAATCAAAAGTCTAACCGCAAAAAAGTAGATTTGAACCTGAACCAATTTTCAGACTTTTCTTGAAGAAAAATCATCGCGACCTATATAAGAGTCTGAATTACATTCATCAACTCTTAACAAAATTCCCGCTTCATTTTTCGCACCAGTTTACCATTGAAAGCGTAATTTAACCTAGGTGTGGAAAACGAATTTAAATTAAACTCCAAAAAAGTCTGATACGAAGACCGCCAAAAAAGCTAAAATAACGTGGAAACTAGGTTCCCACAAGACACCAATCAGAGCTGGAAAAAAAACAACACAAATTTTAATGAAGTCAAATAAAGAATATTCGGCGTGTATAAAGAATATTTGATATCAAACTAAACTAAATAGATTTCAAGAAATTTATTGAACGTTGATTATGTGATAAAAACAGACCGGTAAAAAAATCAAAATATAAATCTTGCTTGCATTCGAATTGATCTCGCTTTCGATTTTTTGTGATACAACCGAAAAAAGGGGCATACGACATTTTCTAAGGGCAAACTAAGACTTTCGTTGAAAACAGTCCCAAACGAATAAACACCCCTCTATAAGAAAAATTCCTTTCGCTCATTAACACTGTCTAGAAGTCAGAAACAATAGAAGTTCAATGGAAACACACAAAAAAAAGCAGCAAGACCCAAATACACTAATTCCTTCGTTCAATAGAATTTAAACCCATAGTTTATTCTCGCCTTACGGCCCTAACCGAAACAAAAAACTCCGAAGTAGATTTGTACTTTAAACAGACTGCTACATGACTTTCAGAAAAGGAAATTCAAAAACAATGAGACAAGGAACTTTTAAATTTGAAAACAAGAACAACTAATTCTCCGAAAAATACAATTACAGGAAGCATATCTGTGCTTGCTGCTATTAAAATATACTGAGAAGTTTATTCCAAGCACGAAGCATATCATATATCCTTTTTTTAAATTTTTCATGGTTTCCACAGTTTAAGCAATCCGTCTTCAGCAAAAGTCGAAATCAGATTATTATGTGGGTGATGCGCTATCCCAATTACGTCTTTTTCGTGGACGGTTAAAGTTCGTTCCAATTTTCCTGTAGTTGTGCTGAAGCAATAAAGCACCTTGTCATCTGCAATGCAATAGACCCATTCGCCTCGGGGTGATACCTCGCAACAACAAAAGTCTCCGCCCTCCCGCTTTCCCGAGGTGAAACTCCTAACTACATGTCCTTGTATATTCATAATGACCAATGTACTCGATTTATTGCACACGACAAAATGATCCGCGTTCTTAGCCAGGAGATGGACACTATTGACCGGAATGTCGCCTCCACCAATCGACTTGAATGTGTTTATACATTCGTTCGTTTTCACGCTCCAGATTTTTACTGACCCGTCTGATGATGCACTTAGGATGTAGTGTCCATCGGCGGAAAAAATGGCACAGTTCACAAAAGATGTGTGACCTTTAAACTCTTTGAGGATCTTTCCCGATTTCAGACCCTGGATTCGAATAAGCTGGTCGAAAGACCCAGTCAGCAACTGACTTGAGTCTTTTGAGAAGTTGATTGACGTCACGCCCTTGCTGTGCGCCTTCTCGAATCGTCTCAGACATTGTCCAGTTTGGATCTTCCATACTTTAATTTTCCCATCTTGGGATCCACTCGCTAACATTTCGGAATCGGTACTGAACGCTAAAGACAAAACTGCGTCGTCCATCAACATGAAGTTCTCGGCAGCCTGGTATTTGAGATCCTTTCTAATTTTTCCAGTTTGAAAATTCCAAACTTCTATAAAGCCATCGACGCTTCCCGTAACTAAGTACTGACCATCCGGCGAAAAAGTACAGCACTCAACGTGCGAAGTTTGGCCAAATTTGATCAACTTTGACATCTGAGTAGGGTACTTTTCCTCTTCCAATTCTTTTACAGCCGCTTTTCCTCGGAATACATCAATAACGGTTCCCGGAGGAAGCAATCCTTGATATTGCTGCCATTTTAACGCCTGCGTAAGCAAGGCGAGGAGTCTCGATGATGGTACTACGGTGACTTCGTTAGACAGTGCGTCTGCGATGGCTTGACGGCGCTTTTCCTTCGAACTTCCGCCGGTATAAACTTCACGCGGATCGAAGTATGACCGAGTCAGTAAATTCTCCAGGTTCACAAACCTGTCAGGGAACTGTTGCTTCATTAACTTCATTGGTTCTGTTTGTCTCAACAAAGTCCTCGCTGCCCCTAGTTCTCGCAACTCAATGAGCTCCAGTACAATCTGCTCATAGAGTTCGATCAGGGTTTTATCTGGTAACTTCAGGGGTTGTATGGCCTCCAAGACTATGTCCCAGTGGCCTGATATAATATCATTTGTAAACTTTTCAAGGTTGTCAACAGTGTTGAGAGATATCGTACTTTCCTCTTGGAGAACCTGCAACGTTCTCTTTAAGTTGTTTTCCTTCAGAAACTGTTCGATAAGACGAACGACATCTGATGATTCGATTTCAAGAGACATATCTTCTGAAAAAATTGAGCAGTAAGTTCGATTCCTGACTTTTTGTTTGTTGCGGAGCCAGTCAAAAATGTGAACCACAAAGATCGATGAAGCTTATGACCAATGAGTGCAACGACCAAACCTTTAAAATTACAGAAATGTCACGTCTTTTTAAGTTTGGCGTTTCACTGAAAACATTCATCATCTTGAAGCTCTTTGTGTTTCAAAATCTTAACGAGCAGACCACCAAAACAATACAGAGCATGAACAACCTTTGAGAAGTTACTCCCCCACTCCCCTGCCTGTAAATACACGGACTAAATACGTAAAAACTTACTTCGGTCATAAACACTTCAAAATACAAACCAACAACCTCGATTTGCCCTTCCTAATGTTATCAACTAACGATTATACCCCCACCTCACATAAGCATAATCAATTTCATGGTGTAACGAGTAATTTGATAAGGTACAGTAAAACGACAAAATATAATAAGAAGAGCTTAATTAGTCTGCCTGCCATCTTGAAATAAAATGGCAGGAGGGGGGAGTGGGTGGGAGCAACAGCTGAGTTTCCCAAAATTTTGCGTGCATAGAAAGCAAGATCTCACCCAAAACTTTTCGTGCAAAACCAAAAACTAATACTCGTACTACGTCTATTATAGAACACAAGCACCGTATTTCCCCCTATTTACCATTGTAGTACTCAGCCCGTGATATACACTAAAATTGCTGATGAAAAAAATCGCTCATTTTTAGGGTATTAGGATAGATTGGAATAGGGTAAAAAGTCTATAACGTTTTTAGTGACCTTCACACTTTCGCTTTTCGACAGTGGAAAGTGCCTCCTTTTAAACGAGGAAACGAACTGAACTTAAAAAGAAAAGAAAAACCAAACCGCGAAAAAGTAAATTTGAGCCTAACAAATTATAATTTTTCCCGAAAAAAGGGGAAAAAATATCACGACCTATAAAAGAGTCTGAGCTACGTTCATCGACTCTTAATAATTTTAATTATTTGTTTTAATTGAACTCGGAGCTCGACTCTGCTGATATAACTAATCGCTCATCTTATTTAATAATTGGATACAACGATACCTCGCCTAATATAACGATACAACGATAATATTTAAATTTATAGGTTCCATGCCAATCTACCCGATTCCAGTCTACCCCATGCATTCTACCCGGTGATTCAATCTACCCTATGCCAATCAACCCTATGTTTTTAAAACAGTTATATAGGTATAAAGGGTATAATGGTATAGGGTAGTTTGGAATGGGCAACTTGTCCTGATGATTTCAAGGGTGGATTGAGAGGAATTCAACACTAATCAATTAAACGCCCCTACCCCTGTGATACATTCCGACATCAATTTTTGGCCGACTAACCTCGATTATGTAAAAAAAGTGCCTTCGGCTTCAACATATACTAACTATTTCCCCCCGCCCCGACAAACTCGAAGATCGGCCTGTTGCTAGATTCAAGTGTCATGAGGGACACACTGATAAAACAAAACAAAAAACATTTTAATTGACTTAAATTTTATCCAAGTTCAACATCACAACAATTGAAATCAAACACAGCAAAAAACGTTTAAAATAATACAAATTTCAGACCACAAGGGTGTAAGTAAATTGAAGTAAACTTAAAATTTGTTAAATACTGATGCACGGTTACTCAAATTTGTTCAATCAAATCGCAAAACAAACGCGCCAGACTCTAAACGACAGAGGGTAGATTTAGAATACAGCAATAAAACCGAGCTCAACAACACTCGCTTCCCCAAATGAAAATGTTATCTATAACATATTATTTAAGGATTCCAAGTGAATTAGAAAAAAGGACTCATAAAAGAAACCGTCCAAGTTGAAGCACTTATCTGATCAGCAATCATTTTTAAATAGATTATTGAAGAGCTTTTCTCGAAGAGACTATTTTCATTTGGAGAAGCATTGCAGAGCCGTTATAATAATGCGCATTTCCCGCCACAACTATTTCTATATTACAATACAATTTCCAGGCGCTAAATCAGAATCAGATCTGATCTGCACGACGAGTCCTTGTGCTTTGCTCTATTTTCTCTGTCACCTCAAAGGAGACGTGAAATATCTGGAGCCTTTCGTGATTCCCACATTCTTATATCTGGTCCTGTGAGCAACTGCACTGCTTGGCCCGTACATCACAGGGGTATCTGAATCAGTTCCGGTTCCAGCACTATCTAGGAGTCTGTCTTCACTGATTGTCCTCAAAACAGCTCCTGGAGTCCGCGGAACTCCAGGGGTCATAGGGTTATCCGATTCAGATGAGGTTGCATCGGTGTCATGTTGGACACCGCCACTAAAAAGAAATCTTTGCTACTTCTCTAAATTATACTTTTTCGAAAACTGGGATCTGTAAGAACAGTAACAGACAATCGCGATTCAAGAGTAACACTGGGTACAGACAGAAAGTAACATTTTGATAAACTAACATTTTCAATTTCGAGAAATACCGCAGAAGGTTATTTGTACATCTAATCAAACACAAAGGACAACAAATCATCAACACAGAGGCGAAGCTGCGATTTGCAAACACTAGAGCGAGAATACGACAAAAAGCAGCTCTATAAAGTGTAAGACAAAGTAGAAAAAAGCCTCGAATTAGTTTAAAAAAATCAGCTACGACTCGAATTCGATCTGCGACCCATAGATTATGAGTCTCGCACACTTACCACTCAGCCACGGACGCTTAATGAATCACAAACAAACACTAGCCAAAAATAAAGCAGAGAACAGATGCATTGAAAATTCAAATACTACAGATCGTGATTATAGCAAAAGCGCCACCAAATAAATGAACCATATTTGCGAGTTAGCTTAGAAAAAAAGGTTTGTACTAATACACTAATGCTCGCAAGCTGGCTAGTGTAAACAAACACTGAAAGAAGAAAAATGGATCGTCATCTGTGCTTAATGCGACAGTCGTTACTACTGTACGCGTTGATACTTTTTCTCATAATCACAGCTGAGTTTATTCCTGTAGTTAAAATTGGACGACATTTAAAATTTAACGCATACCTGGAGCTGGGTGTTAGGAACTGACTCCAAAAATGCTCGGGTATCTCAAACAACCTCTGCATCACAAGTGGATGTCGCTTAGACTCCTCTAGAATCATCATCTGGTTGTCTGAATGCACACTTGCGAGAGAGTTTCGGATAAGTGTGGGTCCGAAGATCTTACTGAGGTTGTCGGTGCCCATAGAACAGTGCTTCCACGTTGAAACTCTCTTCAGATGGAGCATAATAAATGCTAGAGTGTCCCTATTGACATGCGGAAGCTCCGAGACGAGAGAAAGCAGCGTTCTGTAAACAGATAAACACATCACAGTAAACGCATTCTTCATCACATATAACTAGATACCAATCTCTTCTATCAAATTATCATTGCTAGTGCAATTTTGTTTCACTGAGATACAGGTTGTTTTTTAAGAAACCAAAAATTCATCAAATAAAGGCACTTTCAAAGGAAACAATTTCGAGGTAAAAACAATGAGCTTTTTGCTTAAGACACTATAAATAGCGTCTGTCATCAATCAACAACTTAAGGAAATTTCAATCTTAATTAGTCAAATCAAAAATCAAAAAAATTCCAACATGATTAACAGGTTCATTGTGTCTCCAATTACGATCAAAACGATTCTTAATATAAAATATCAAAAATGCAAAAAAAAGTAAATTCCTCCCAGTCCCCACTACATGATGGGAACAAAAAATTCAGTAGAAACAACAGGATAAAACAAATCAAGTTTTCAAGGTATATGTACGAAGTGGCTTCGGAGGGTGGCAAGTCTGCTACTGCCATGAAGTGGTCGTGGAGTCTGTATGTGACAATGGGTTCCTCCAGGCGTCTGATGAAGTCCTTCATAACACTGCACACTGTGTGCACATCATGGCCAGACAGGTAGGGCGTCTTGTTCCTCGAAATCTGGTCCATAATATCTCCCACAATCCTTAAAAACATACAATAAATTCTTACTTTAACCAACTTCTTTCATCTGCCACTCATTTTATAGCTTGCAAGTACACTCAGAGTTGAAGCAGCAGAATGATTTTTTTCTTGAAAAAAGTTCAAAACTATCTATCAAAACTTTCATACCTTTACCTTGATTTTGTCTCAAACAAAAACTCATTGAAAAAACATGCCAAGTAGGACAATTGCATGTTAATTTAGCATCGGAACAAAGCCGACAATTCTTGAGCAGACTAGGCCGAAAAAAAAACTTTAAAAGCACGAAGACAAGTTTCCAAGTCTCTATGAAAACATTTAGATTGAAACAAACGTTGCTCATCCAATCTGTCAAAATAAGGACGCTAAGCCGATATTAAATAAGCACAAATACTTTGAACCTGAATAAAGAGAAGAAAAAAAACGATATGCTGAAATCTGAGTCGTTAAACTTACAATCAACACATAAAAATTTCGTTTAGAACGGGCATTTAAAATGCCGCCATGCTCAAAAAAAATTCGCGTAAGTACAGTTAGTTAACGTAAGTACAGACTTGGGGATGACTGAAAATTCAGTCAGCCTGTGATCAAAAAAATTAAATGGGAAAAAAAAGTTTAGGGCCCGGTTGCAACACCCATGCTGATCGCAAGGATAAAAAATTTATTTGTTTAGGCTTGGCAGGAAGCTATGTCTTATTTCGATGTCAAAACAGTTTATTAACTTACAAATTTCACAGGAAAAATATCACAGCATCATTACAAACACAGAGGTGAAACAGGTGAAGAGGAAAGGAAAGAAGAGTCACTAAGTCCAAAGAAAACGGAAAAAAATTTCGAAGAAACCTCAACTAAAAAAAAACTCAAAATTATGTCTGGAAGCATGTTCTACTTACGGAAACCACGCCCAGAAACATCATTTGACGGCGTTTAACGAAAATTCAAACACATTTTTGAGCGACAAAAAAATGTTGTCATGAAAAACTAAGAACTACAATTTCTATTCTGAAACTTTCAACGTTTTGCGCAATCCGGAGGAAAACGTACAAATTATGGTTCATTCGAACGACCTAAAATTGGTTTAGTAAGCCGATAAATATAAGCCGAAATCAAAACAGGAAAATAGACAAAGTCAAGGCTAGTAGAGTTACAAACTGCAGGAGTAAATGAAATTATAGAAAAGTAACTCCAATGAAAACTGCATAGAGCAAAAAAAATCTACGATGTGGCAAATAAGCCGACAAAACATAAGCAAACAAACAATCCGCCGACAATTTTTTTGAAACTGAATAATTCCCGTTTAAAAAAAACAGGTCCTGGTCAGATTCGAACACAGGGCCTTTGCCGTATTCGTTACCTCCAGGTTAAGTGTGCCGTAGACGCTTACAATTAGAATTCATTGTGAACCAAGAGACCAGGTGTTATAAGTTGTAAACAAGTTGTTAACCCGATAAAGTCTATATTCCACTTTGATAACGTTGCTAATCGCAAGCGTTACAAATTCAATGAAAAACAAAGCCAACTGACATTTGGAAAAAGTAATGAACGCAAGAAAACAGAAAAAAAAGACTTGTTTTTTGAAAAACTCTCAACTTTCGAATTTCAAAAGAAAAAAACTGATGCTCTTAAAGCTCTTTGAAGTTCTAGAACAATTTATGACCAGTATTTTTTGACAAAATTGACCCGATTGTAGCAAATTGTAACAATCGGTGAATTTTTATTTCGCTTGAAAATCTGAAAACTAAAATCCACATTCGAACACAGAGGCGAAGCTGCGCTTCGCAAACACTTGCGAGAACACGACCAAAAAGCAGCTCAATCAACAGACATAAGAAAGTAGAAATAAGCCTCGAATTTGCAAAAACTCGAATTAGCAAAAATTTGCGACCTAGCAAATTTGAGTCTCACGCACTAACCATTCAGCCAAGGATGCTTAAAATCCCCAAAAACTAGCCACCAATAACGCAGCTACACATGCTAATAAATTATCAATTCGATGCAGGAAAAGTAGCACCAAATACAAAAAGATACAACTTTGCATGTAATAAATTGCAAATCATAAAGCCACATTATGCGTAAACTATGCTTTTCAAAAAATTGCGAGATATATTGCGTTAGAAAACTTCTGAAATCGAGATTTCATTGTAGTTATGTTGTTTGAAACAAATAGATTCTACGGTTCACCTCATGAAATAAAAATGCATCAACTGTGTAACTTATACTTATTCGAATGTCAAAGCACATGTTATGAATAAGCTGTAAAGGTGCAACAAATTGCCTATCATTTTGTATTGCCAATTCGATGCAGCAAATATTGTTGCTTTAGGTTGGAAAAAAAAATAAAGTTCGTACTATAACACTATGCTTCGCAAGTGTAAGTAAGAAGTCGATCACATTGTTTGTGACCTTCACATTTTGGCCGTTCAATACTAGAGTTTGCCTTCCGTTTTAGGAAAATAAATTAAAAGTCAAACCGCGAGAAACCAAAATTGAGCGTGAACAAATTTTATGACTTTTTCCTGAAAAAAAAAAACAAAAAACTCACCAAGACCTATATAAAATTACTCTGAATAACTATGTTTATGACAATGTTGAAGAGACAGATCATAATGATTGTCATGGTCAGCTGTTCTACTAAATTTACTTCTATTCGAACTCGAGTTTTTTATTTCGTTGGAAGTGGAAAAATTCCATATTGTTAGGCTGTCCAGGTTACTTGCCTGTGTGTTCCTGGGATTCTGTAGATGCCCGACTCTGTTCGGCCCCTCTCCTCAATTTCCTTCACAATTGCAGCCAACACTTGGGGCACATAGGGTGCATGGCTGGGACAGAAGTTCGCAAGAGCCCCTATTGACCTCTTGTCATTCGTCACATTCTTCGGACATGGTCGAGTTAGCGCATGTAATTTGCATGCTGTGTGACAGACGAACTTGCAATTCTTGCATTTTTGAGCTTCGTTTCCAAACTTCAGTTTCTTCCCACACTGAGTGCAGTCTTCTGCTCTCAGAATGGTTTTCTTAGTGAATGCGTGCTGAAATTGAACACTTAATACTCCTCGTATAGAATCGAATTGAATAAACACAGCCAACATAAAGCTGGAAAAAAGTCAATGAACGTAAGTAAACAAAAAAAAATCGACTTATTTTCTGACAATCTCAACTTTCGAACTTCAAAGAAAAAAATAGATGGCCTTGAAACTCTTTGAATTTCTAGAACAATTTATGATGACTCTTTTTTTGATAAAATTAACCCAATTTGAGAAAATTGGATCAATTAGTAATTTTTTTGTTTCGCTGGTAAATCTGAAAAATAAATTCCACCATCAAAACTAGAAGTCGATCGCGTTTTTTGTTACTTTTACACTTTTGATGTTCGAAACATGCTTCTGCTCGACTATTAACATATCAACGAACATAAGAAAAAAGTTTTTTTTCATCTTGAAGCTTTGTTGCAGTTTTTTGATAAATTGAGCCTACTTATTTCAGATCATCCATTTCGAATTTTTCAAAAATTTCTCAGCCAAGAAAACTTGTTAAGGGTAGGTCAGCCAGAAATGGCGGCCATAACAAAAAACCCAAGCGGGGATACTTTGAAAAGTTTTGGCAGCCAGAATTGAGAGGGGGTCGACCGCCTTCTCGGAACGCTACTGGCTATGACTTGAAACAGTTTAGTACAGCCTTAAAAACTACGTACCTTTACGCCTCCAGACAAACTTTCCAAACTGGCCGAAGATGAGCCCCCGCTGGGTAGAACAGGAGCACTTCCCACTTGCGCACTCAGAGGCCACTTATTAGAGTTCTCGTATCTCACGTGCTTCTGTTTAGGAGTCTCCTCTGGTAAGTGAACACTCGACCTAATGTAATTAATTTAGATTTATTTCAAAGATAAAAACACAATTTGAATATTAAGTGCGTTCAACACGAAGAATCCAACTCCAAAAACTTGCAAAAACATATCTTGAGTTAAAATATAAAAATCGCAGGTTAAAGAAGTGATTATCTGCTACGGTTTCCACCTAGCAGTCGAGAAGTCGAAGACCAACCATGATCCGCGCTTGTAGCTCAAAGTTGAGACAACATTACCCAGAACACAATGTTAACCAAAATTTGTGTGCATTTTTTTACACAGAGGCAAAGCTTCGCTTCGCAAACACTAGCGAGAACACGACAAAAAGCAGCTCTATAAAAAGGCAATAAGAAAAATTAGAAATAAGCATTGGGATTTATTTAAATTCGGCTACGTCTGAGATTCGAACCTGCGATCTAGAAATTAAGAGTCTCACGCACTAACCACTCAGCTTAATAGGTACCAAATACTGTGCACAAATAAAGCAGAGAACAGATGCTATGCAATTTCCAATTCTACAGTGAAATTTCCAAAAAAGTGAAGATTTTATTTGCGAGGTAGGTTAGACAAAAAGAAGGTTCGTAATAATACACTGCGCTGATCGCTAGTGTAATAAAGGCAAAACAGCTATTATCTGATAAAAAGTAGACACCTCGAATGCGAGTCATTTCCCTCGAGAATAAACCGTCGTTAGCTAAAACTGAAGGCTTATTGGGGAACCGTAAATTTGACTACTGCCTTTGCACGGATCTATGGTCTTCATTTTGATCTTCTTATAGCGAGCAGGGCTCTAAAAAAGCTATTGTTCGGAAAAACATTTACTGTTTCATAATATAAGATACGTGAAATATACCAACCTTCTTTTGCTCTTTCGTTGGATCTCTTTCATTTTCAGATCCTCTTCAGATGAGAGTCCCTCTGGCTGACTGCTCGTTTCCCCGTCACTGCACCAGGAACGATGAGCACCCAGATTGAAGTCTGGAGTTCGATTCCATTTGTCTGAGATTCTCGGTTTACTGCGTCGCACTGTCTTCTCTCGTTTCAGAGTGTGTTGCGAGGCAGCCATGTCCAGCAGTTCTCGGTCTTTGTCACCTGCAAAAAAGCATACAACTTTCCACAAATAAATCATCAATATATAGCATCAATTTACTATTAAAACCTTAAGGTAATGGGAACCGAAGACTATAACGCACCTCGCATTTCTTGGAACTTCTACTCGAAATCCATGAAAATTATCCACGCCACTTTTCAATAAAATTTTGTTAATAATTTAGTCTCACAGTCAACATATACTGCAAAAAAGACTACACTTGAATTTGGGGAAAATAGACAAACAATTCTTCTATTTGAGCAAACGTTAATTTTTTACACAGAGGCGAAGCTGCACTTCGCAAACACTTGCGAGAACACGACCAAAAAGCAGCTCTATCAAGTGACCTAAGAAACCGTAGAGAAAAGCTTCGAATTTGGTTCCGTGGACTGCTTAGCAAAAACCCGAATTAGCAAAAACCTGCGATCTAGCAAATTTGAGTCTCACGCACTAACCATTCAGCAACGGATGCTTAAAATCCCCAAAAACTAGCCACCAATAACGCAGCTACAAAAGCATCAAATACAAAAAGATACAATTTTGCATATAGTAAATCGCAAATCATAGAGCCACATTATGTATAAAGTATGCATTTCAAAAAAAATGCGATATATATTGAGTTAGAAAATTTCTGAAATCAAATTTTTAAATTGTTATGTTGTTTGAAACAAATAGCTTTCTTCGATTCACTTGATGAATTAAGAATGCATCAACTAAGTAAACTTATAACTATTCGAATGTCAGAACACATGTTATCAATAAGCTCTTAAGGTGAAACAGAATATCAAAGGTGCAACAAAATATCTAATTGCCAATTCGATGCAGCAAATATTGTTGCTTTAAACCGCAACAATAATTGCGACTTAAGTTAGAAAAAAAGAAAGTTCGTACTATAACACATTGCTTCGCAAGAGTAAATAGGCCCCCGGTCCTGCTCTCGTAATTTTTTTATTAGCCCCTCGGTCCTGCTCAGGACCCACCTTAGGGAGGGAGATGTCATCTTTTTCGCCGCTCCCACCTTGAGGAGGCGGATGACTCTAGGAACCCTTCAACCGTGACCGAAGTGGGATTCGAACGCATGACCCTCGTCTTACGAAACTTGTGCCAAACCCACTCGGCCACGGCTGCTTTAGCAAACGTAGTCCTTTCTACGTAGGGCATCCACCAGTGCAAAAATCTATCCGTGCATCCACTAGTTTTATGAAATATTCAACACCGACTAAGTCAAAAAAGGTTTTTTTTATCCGGCGCGTGCTCCCAATCAAAACAACTTTATATTGGCGCTAAAATCACCTTAAATTTGTATCGTTTTGTTTAAATCGTGGTGGACTGTTTTTGTGACGTTTAAAGAAAGACAGAAAGAAAGAATAAATTTCTCCGGTCAATCATAATATAAATTTGTCAATTCATCGTTATTATTCATTATTAAAATGAGACTCGGAGAGGTTAGACACCGTGGCCATGTGCACACACAAACGCCTACCCTAGCTATGCATGTTTCTTTCACTATCTTTCACATTTAATCTAAAAATTCCACTTAATTTCTCGAAATGATTTCACGCTTTGGTGTTAAAGTTCTGGATGTCAGACTGAGGATATGGTCGTTAGAATTCTCAGAGTTTCAAGATAATGCTGGTTCAAAAAATGATTGAAATTTTTTTTCAGTTTTTTGTTTTGCTTTTTGGTTTTTCCTTTTCTGCATTTTCTTTTGAGCTGTCTGTTACTATCTAGGTTACAAATGTACTATATAACATGGCAGTATCAGTTGTGAGTTATTTATAGAATTGTTTATCTTCGATAAACAGATTTTCACTGAAGAAATTATTTTGCTCAAATTTTTAATGTTTGATATTTAAGTTCACAGTATCTGTGTTTACGGGTAGCCTGCTAACCATGCTAGTACCAGAAGTTCTACTGACCTAATGCGCTCAGATGTCCATCTCGATTTGTATTGCCAGAGTTGATCAGTTCTTTCAACAAAGCAATCAGTCTCGTGTAGTCTTCTAGTTCCCGCTCATACTTCAGTCTCAACTCTGCCTCCGAACTAACTGTGTGTCTGACGTCATCCAATGAGAAATGGAGTCTTTCCACCTCTGCTTTTAGCTTCATATTTTCGGCTTTTAGTCTGTTCACCTAATAACCAAACAGTTTTCACTTAAGTCACTCAAACGGGGCAGACATCCAATGGTTCACTTAGCATAGAGATATTTCAGATAGTTGGCAAACTTTTTTCTTCCCGCTTCTCGGATGTATTTAATATTTTTTGCATCCAAGTTTCTGATGACTGACTACAATATCGTTTAAAAAATATCAGTTTAAAAATTTTTTTCTCAGTGTATCTATGGTTAAACAGAGAATTCGATGCGACTTGTTACCTCGTCTGAGTTGACGAGGAAGCTGGCGTGGTAGTGTTGGAGGATCTCGAGAATGCGGACCATGCTGGACTCTGTCGAGTGCTGCAGAGGTCTGTGGTTAGACTGCAGCTCCATAAGCTTCTCTCTAGCTAACTTCACTTTAAATTCACTACTCATAACTAACTGCAACACAAAACCAATATTTTAACTCAGCGCTCGAGAGAGAAAACAATAAGACATATCTTAAAAGATTGAGATTTCGGACCAACAATTCGCAAGAAAAGGCACTAACATAGGAGTTATTCAGCTCATAACTACCAATCACTGTTGTGCCCCCTCTGTTGAAATTAAATGCCATTTATCAGGGCAATTCTCAATTACGCCTAAGCTGGACATAGAACAATAACTCTTCTGATGGAATGCAGGCTTAATTACACTACATAATTACGATAAAATAGATTTCATTTAAATATACTCAAGAAACCAAATGAACCAACTTTCTAGATTAGCACCAAACTGTAATCACTGCGAAGTCACATAAACAGTTGTAATATTATTGAAATCATAAGTCTTTCTGAGAAAAGAGTCGAACAGTTTGAAACCACTTAAGATATGGCTGCCAGGGTAGGATGCCACCATCATGGCATCAAATTTAATCGAGGCCCCCGTCTTGCTGTCTAGAGATCCGAGACTCCTTCCCGACACTCCCAACCACCTCAGGGGGTTCGCCTCCAAGTTCTGAAAGTGCACCTGCAGTTGCAACAACCTGTCACTGCAGTTGATTATATTCAGCGTGATTGGAAAAGGTATTTCTGATTGGATCACATGGGGTAACTTTTCCACGGTAACCCTGATTTCACCTGGATTCAGAACTCTTCTCAACAAATTACTTGTCTGAAGTCTTCCACGTTCTCCCATTTGCGTTCGCCATGTTATGTCTAACTTGCCGGCCACTTGCCCTTCAACTGACCTGTGAATTGCATTTGGGTTTTCAGGTGTCAATTTGTATATGTATTGTCTCATATCGCGAGGGTTCATATACGATACACCGTCGAAGCTATAAGACGCGTTGTTCATATCTGTAACTTTGTACTGACTCGAAGGTTCGAACAAAACACTTTCCATAACCATGGGGACGCTTGTTATATTCTGGATCTGGGCTTGTAAGTAAATATCGTTGGTCAATGGATTGAAGAAAGTGGTTTTCACGTCTAGTGGTTTGGCAACTTGAAACTTTTGATTCTTTTTGAATTTGTTCTTTTCACCGGTCAAAGTCACATAAGACACATGGACTACGATGTTGTGTGCTCCTATATCTTTGATTTCGTGATTAAGTACTATGTCGATTGAAGTATCCGCTTCCAGTGATTCTAATGGAGGGTTCCCGGAATTCAGAAGATGGGTCGTCGATGTAGTCTGAAGATCAATTTTTACAGATACATCTTTTACTTTCTGGTGACTATCGTTCGTCACTGTGACATAAAACGAGTAGGTTTCTCCGAGGTATACGCTTCCAAGCACTGTCGGTAATAACATCATTTGCGAAGTTGCAAGAGGTTTCTCGCATTCAGTGATGTCACGAATGTCCTCAAGAGCCATGCCTGGTGAGTCCCTCAGGTCTGATTTGATAGGATGACACTGGACGAACGAAGGCTTCGATAGCCGGTGCATCTTGACAGACAAGTAGTGATCTCTGTTAGATGCTGTTTCGGGAGGCATCATTTTATGATCTAAAAATTTAAGTATACTTTTGAAACAGTCATTGAGATGAGATACTGATATCATTTCATCACATTTTTCACACCGAGGCGAAACTGCCCTTCGCAAACACAAGCGGGAACGCGACAAAAAGCAGCTCTATAGGTGCAATCAGAAAAAGTAGAAATAAGCCTCGAATTAACAAAAAATAAATCGAATACATCTCGGATTCGAACCTACTGCGACCACAAGATTATGATTCTCACGCACTAACCACCCAGCCACTGACGCTTAATTGATGACAAAAACTATTCACAAATAAAGCAGATAACAGATGCTATGCAATTTCCAATGCTAAAGTGAAATTTCCGTATAAGTGAATAATTTCAATGAACACTTCTTTGCGAGTTAGGTTAGAAAAAAAATAAGGTTCGTAGAAATAATCTACGCTGATCGTTAGTGTAAACACATTGCAAGACTAAAATATCAAAGATAAAGGTAAATTCCGTGTCTAAATCTACAATTTTACGCCTCCAAACCAAAATGTTTCAAATTAAAATCCGTATTTCATCTGAGTCGCCTTTCTGTTCATTCGGTTATCTGCCCACTGGTTTTTCAACTGCACTTCTCTCGCCTTGGCCTGAGTGACGAGCCAATTAAGCTGGTGCTTGCTCTTCGCTCTTCTCTGGGTTGGATCTCCTTTGTCGCCCTGTTGCCCGGGTCCAAATCCAGTCGTCTGCTCCTGTTCTTCCGAGAGTCCTTTCGTAATTTGTATGCTTACATCTTCAAGCTGATCTTTAGCATTGACATCCACAATCTCAATATTTTCTTTCTTGCGTCTGCCTTGAAGTCTCTGCAGTACTTCCGAATCCAAATTGCTGCTAACAGTAGCATTTGACATTGACAAGGTACTACTATTAGAAACTTGATCGTAAGACGCTGACGTTTCTTCTGGAGACACTTCATCGTCGTAATAACTTTCAGTCCAACTATTTTTATTTTCACTCGCAGATGGGTCAGAAAAGAAGCCATTTGTTAGCGATCTACTAGAGTGAGGCTCACTTTCAGATAAATTAAAGTAAGACACCGGTTCTGCTGATTCTGAAGTTTTCTGTTCCTGAGAATCGCATTCTTCATTTACAGATTCTGAAGTTGTTATCTTTGTATTTGAAGATTTTTCTGTAGATTGATTGGTACCTGCTAGTCTTTTTCTGTTCTTTACGGAATCTGGCACCATAATTTGACTCTTCTTTAGATCTATCGATGTTTTGGCTTTGGGTAGTGAACCTGAAACGATTACGAATTGTAAGATACCTTATTAACGCTAAAACACACCTCTTATAAATGATCCTTTTAACGCAAAAACTTGAAAAACTTTAACGCAAAAACAGAATAAAAAAAGTAGCGCCCATCAAATGCTTTGTTAAAATCTTTAAGCATCTGATTTCGGTTAACCAAAACTTCTTTCAAAAATACGTGGCAAAAAACCACAGCTTAAGAATACCCAACGATTAATCGTTACATTTCTTTACAGGCCAATAATGCACCATTGAGAATACACTTGCATAAGAGTGGGTTGCTGAATTGCGCTGCTTCTGGTGCGTCGCTTGCAATCACGGGTGTCTTCAAATTCGACACTTTAGCTGACTTGAGATCACTGCTTTGAGCGTCTTCGTCTACGTCAGAATCATCTGATTCCTTTTCGTTTTCGGATCCAGACTTCGCTTTTTTGGAACTCCCGGTAAGAGATGTTAGTTTTTTGGGCAGAAGAAATTCGTTGAAGACAGATTCAGTCATCTTCACTCTTTTGCGTTTAGGCGGTGGAAGACCAGACAACAAGTCACTAACTGATGCAGAAAAATTTAGGGAGGAGAGTATTGATGTTGGTTCTTCATCCTTCAAAATGCTACTTTCCTCTACAATAGCGAGTCCATTGCGATCACATTCAACTTTGTTACTAGAACTTTCGGCTGCTTTCGAGCCTTCAACGATCTCTGCTTTGTTCGTTTCTTTCGAAATAACAGTTGACCTGGCGTCGTCATCTGATTCTGACTCACTATCAGAAGCTCCATAATTTACTATTGAGAGCATAATCACAGCATCTTAAACATTAAAATTTGGATATGACCTCTAGAACACCTTGAGATTAATGAAGGGTAACTTTCAACTTTGATCAACTTCAATTCAAAACAAATATATTGCAATTTTTGAAAATTAGAAAGAATACCCCTTCTCAGGCAGAAATGATTAACGACTAAAAATAAGTTTTTTATATTCAATTTATAATTAAAATCACATCTCTTTGATCACGTAGTCGACGTTGAGACAGGTCTAAAATTCGCGTAATAGTTCCTACAGGCCTCGTTCATCAGAAACTGTTGCGTCTCTGGCAAATCATCAACCCACTGTGCTGGCGAGCCTCCAAATATTGCAAAAGTTGGAACTACCGTATCTTGAGGAAGATAAGATCCGGGTAAGATAGCACAACAATCGCCCAGCTTGGCTCTTTTGCCGATAACCGATCCCTTCCCTATATGGACATAGCTTCCAACACTGGTCGCCTGAAGGATCACATCTTCTTCGACGTAAACACAATCTCCTATCTGCACAGGAATGAATGAAATCTTATTGGCTGATCGTTTCGAGGGCGGTCGGATCACAGACCGTTCACTGATGACACAATTTCGTCCAAACCTAAAAAAACTCCATGACATTCAACATCTGATATAATCTATAATCTGAGCTCACCTTTTATTCATGTTGTCCTGGCCCTTAGGACACAGACACAATCAACATAATCACTCATCCTAATACATAATCATACACCTACACGGGCATCTGCATACAAAAGTGAATAACAAAAAAAATGAAACCAGGGTACTTAAAAATTCAAGCTGTACTTTTCTGATCAACTCAAATTTCGCTGCTGATGACTATAACTTATCGTCCATTTGGTCAATTAAATTGTAGGTAACTTAAAAACAGGAAAATGAGAACAAATTTGTTGATTAAAAAACACGAAACATTAAATGAAAATCACTTCTTTCATTAATGCTTAAGATGTCTAAATCAAAGATGAAGCATATCAAATAGATAAACTCTCAGGTAAAAATATGGGAAAACACCGATGAGACAGAACCGACAAAAGTTGAGACACTTTCAATTACCTCGATTACATTTAAAAAACTCTTTAATAAAAAATATAGAAAGAGTTATAGAAATACCTTAAATTCAGACTGATTTCAGTAAAATTTAATTTAAAGCCGAAAAAAAACAACCAATTTGATACCACTTTCGTACTTAAAGAGTTTGATTTATCCTATCCATGACACTTCCAAAAACTTTATTTGAACGCAGGCGAAGCAGCGTTCGCTTTACTTGCAATGAACACAAAAAGAAATAACAAAATCCAAAAAAAAATACAGAAGAAATAAATTCTTTTCAGTTTCCCTAAACAAAGCGTCCAGGCAGTTTCAAAGAAAAAACATATATCACCTTAACGCTCTTTGAATAAGCTAATTGAATTGAACAGTGAACTTTTCATCGCTGACACTTCTGTAACAAAACCAACCCAATTCCAAAAAATGGACCAATAAGTAATTTTGTATTCGTGTGTGATTATCTTAAAAGTTATCAGGTTATCTTCAAAAATATATCAGATTAAAGCTCTTTGAATTTCAAGAACGGTTCATTATTGAAATTTTTCTTAAACTAAGACAATTTCAGAAAACTGGATCAATGGATACATTTTTTATTCGATTGGAAAATCTTAAATCTAAAATCCACTCTCAAAACTAGAAATCGCTCAAGCTTCGTAATTGTAGAGCGCAATTTGCCAAACTTTTATCACATTAATTTGAAACAAACTCGAAAGTTTCAGATAAACTAAATTGCCTCCTTAAATTCATTAATAAGTATGATGTACTTCTGTGGTGTATTTTAAGATTTTTCCTTTAAAAAAAAAAACAAAAAAAATCATCAAGACCTAAATAAACGAAAATCTTTTCTTTCTTTTACAAATATTTTTCAAGTTGATTGTAATGCACGTTTTTTTGCGCCATTCGCACTTTTGGTATTGAAGAGTTTAATTTACAATTTCTTCCTCCATGGAGTAAAAATTTCTTCCTCCATGGACACTTAACTATAGCCAACTATTCCCATTCTAGTACACCCGTTCAGCAGAGAATGGCAGCCAAATGCTTATTCGACAGGGAAGAAAATGACAAGAGTTAACATTCTCAAAATCATTCAATTTCGAAGCTAGGATCGTACATCAGTATCGCTTACCGAGTGGCAAATGAGACGACAAACTTACGGCAGAAGGCCCTTTAGACAAAAATTGCCGACAGAATTTGTCAAAATAAAACAAGAAATACATACTTTTTGCGCTTCAAAATACAGACTATAAGACGACTAAGCCGAAAAAAACACACAGAGGCGAAGCGGAGCTTCGCACCACTTATGATACAACACAATCATAAATAATCATGAAAATGAAACAAAAAAAGATGAAAAATGTTGAAAAAAATAGGTGAACAAAAAATTTCGCATCTCTCAATGAAGAACACCTAGGGTTCAGCTAAAGCAGGAGGTAATTTTTTTAACATTCTTTGAATTTTTTGGATGAAATGCGTAATTTCAAAAAATAAACTTTGCCCAAAACCTTCATTGTTTCCCAATTTTCGAAACTTTCACTTGTTTAAAGGTCATAACTTTTTTCTAGAGGAAACTGGGCGTAGCAAATTATAAAGTTAAGCTTTCAACAACCTGTTGGGTCGTTTAAACCTATGATACCAGTTTTGAGAGGATAGTTATCGAGAAAAAGACAAAACGGTCAACAAATTAGAGAGCTGACATTTCCGAGAAACATAACTTTTTGTTTAAAAAAATTGGGCGTAGCCGCTTATGTAGAAGAGATGCAACTAATCTGTCATTTCGATTGAACTCAAAAACCTAGATTTGGCTGTATAGTTCCCGAGAAAAGTCGAAAAGTTTTCAAAACCGGTCAAAAAAATCAAAATTCTGGCTTTTCCGAGGGTCATAATTTGTTTTTTTTTTTACAAAAATTTAGGCTTAGTCGCATTTGCAAAGAAACTCCCTGCAACCCGCTCTTTGGATTGAACCCCAAATCTCAGATATAGAAGGGTATCTTTTGGTCGAAATTACGAAGCGGAAACAAGGCAGACAATCTTTGAGCAGACACCAGTTGAGCCAGAAACTACTCTGTGGGAACTAGTACTTAGCCAGAAGTTAAGTTTGAATTTTCAAGAAACTGAGCATGTTTGGTTGCTGCAGAAATGATTCAACTGATTTTGTTAAACTAATTGTTAACTAGAAAAAAACTATATTCCAGTTTGATAACCCTTACTTATTGCAAACGTAATAAACCGAAACCATTTCAGTGAGGAAAAAACAGACAAATAAAAAAGAAATGAGTTAACACTCAACTCAGATTTTGTAAACTCACAAGAAACAGAACGATATGTCACTTAAAATTAAAGTTGTTTCAGAAGAATATTCAATATATAGGAATTTAAACCGACAAAAAATCATCAGACAAACGATAGTACAACTATTCAGAGTTTCACAGAAAAAATTCAAATTCATACCTATCGGAAAACCCAAGCTCCGGTCAGTAAAACAAAAAACGCCATCATAAAAATGTCGGAAAATAAAACTTGTGAATTCAGCCGACAAAAAATATGCAAACAAATTATTGTCCTCTTTTTTTTAAAAAAACAAGCTCTGGTTCCTTTTCGTGTGTAGAACCCGAGACCTTGAGATACCAGAGCACGCGAAAAATCTCAACACCAAGTAACAGGGGTTTCCTACAAATTCAAACTCAGATTTGTAGGAAAAGTTCGTTTCGACAAAAAAGTCTTGCTCCCATTTAGAAGTCACTTGCTCTCACAAAAGAAAACACAGGCAGCAGACAATTAGAACAGTCAATAAACGCAAGGAATCAAAACAAAAAATCTAAAAACTCAAAAACTAGATCTATCAAAAAGAAACAGCCAACTGACAGTTTGGAAAGGAGTAATGATCGCAAGTAAACAAAAAAACACTGACTTTGTTTAAAATTCTCAGTTTTCTAATTAAAAAAAAACTAAATTCTCTCTAAGCTCTTTGAGCTTCTAGAAAAAATTATGATTAAGCTTTTTTGATAACATTAACCCAACTTGAGCAAACTGGATCAATATATAAAATTTTTATTCTGCTGGAATTCTAAGAAGTAAATTCCACTTTTGAAACATCAAATTATTCACGTTTTTAGCACCATTTCTACAACTGTTTGTATTTCTGCTATTTGCGTAGCTCTCAGCAGATGAATTTCAATTGAACTCAAAAGGTGCATATTTACCTGAGTGCATTCATAAATGCATTAATATGTATGAATGCATATCTGTAGTTATTAGAGCATTTTAAGATTTTTCCTGAAAATAAAACAATAAAAAATCACCACGACCTATATAAGAGTATTCAATACAAAGAGTATTCAATACATTCATTACTCTTATTTAGGATAGTTTTGAAACAAACATACCAAAATGATAAAAAACATGCCGAAATTATTCAGCCGAAAAAGGTTGTAGTCCGCCCTCAGTCTGAAAACTCCTGAACACATACGCAAAAAAAATTCGCTCGTCGAACGACGCAAAATGAGGCCAATAAGGCAATTTAAGAAAGGCCAAAACCTATCAAACCGGACAAAAAATTACAAATTTTAACAAATCGAGTGGATAAATTTACAATTAAAATAAAAAGAAAATTTCGACAGAGGCGCAGCTGCGCTTCGTGAACACTAGCGAGAATACGGCAAAAAGCAGATCTAGTTTTCTACACAGAGGCGAAGTTGCGTTTCGCATACACAAGCAAAAACATGACCGACAACGCTACTGGAAAAAACTGAATGAGTGAAACTTTGAGTCTACAAAAATTCTTAAGTGACGCACGCCAGTTATGAGTGTACATAATTGCTAAGTGACGCAAGCCAATTATGACGCATTAGCAGTACTAGTCATTTGAAAACAAATTTTCCAACTAACACGCCTCAATTTAAAAAGCGGACGCGTTTTTACTTATATACGAAGAAGTTCATTAAAAAATCTGACCCTGCCCAGGTTCGAACCCTCTTATTTTGCAGCTGGTCTCCTTCCCTAACTCTACGCTACAGAACCATGATACCTTGAAGTTAAAGTGCTATTTGTAACATAATAGTCCGTGTTAATACCCATAGCATTGGCTGTACTTAATACCTGGATCAAAATGAACACTTTCAAAAAGAACACATTTTGTCGCAACAATTGCATCGCAACAAAATTCGCGACTTAGGTTGGAAAAAACACAAAATTCATACTATAACACTAGCTATGCTTGTGTTAAAAAGTACAATAAAAAAGACTCGAATTAGTAAAAAAAAAAGATTCGGCGACGTCTCGGACTCAAACCTACGAACTAGAAATTATGACTTCACGCACTAACCACTCAGCCATGGACGCATACTCTATTACATACACTAGCCACCAACAAAGCCAAGAACAGATGCTATGAAATTTCCAATGCTAGAGATCGTGATTATGGCTAAAAGACGCACAAGTAAACACTTATATTTGCGAGTTAGCTTAGAAAAAATGAAGGCTCGTACTAAAACACTGCTCGCTAGCATAAATAGGATAGATATTTAACATTCTAGCAGGAACAAAATTTGTCTGTTGCTGTACTGTTGTTGCTAACAGATTCTTCCAGTAAATGAGTCCAGACGACTTCTGTGAACAAATTTTTTTACGGGAAAAGTCTTGTACCGATTGTGTAATAATTGAAACTACTTTCAAAGTTTTTTTTTTGATTTTTTATTTAACTTTTCTATCAAAGGAAACATAAATCGGACATATAGATAGATATCCTTATAATACAATAGTTATTTTTAGGAGGCAAGGAACTTGAAAGGCGATGAATTTTTGGCTTTTGATTTCTTTTTTCGCAGTTTGGCTTTTGATTTCTATCTAAGTTCAGCTCATTTCCTTAGTTCAAAATTAGGCATTTTAACAGAGGATATGCACTCAAATTGAAAAGAAACCAAAAGTCTTAAACAACAAATTTCAAGATTTTTTACTGAACAAAAAAAATCATCACGACTTATTTAAGAGTCTTCACTACATTCATTGCCTCTTTAAAATAACTATTGTACTTTAGGGATCTCCTTTACATGACCGATTTATACTTTTTCTGATAAAAAATGAAGTTGAACAAAATAAACCCAAAAAAAACTCTGAAAGCTATTTAAGCCTAACAGAAAAAATATTTCAGAACAATTAACCTATGTTACCTGATTATTGGTTGAAAAAATCTGTACCCTACTTGATAGCACTTGCTAATCCCAAGAGTAACAATGCAAAACAATGCGAGTTCAGAGGGCACCAAGCGCTCAACAATGCGAGAAGCAGTTAGTTTCTAATAATATTTTCGTACCTGCATCCCGCCAAGTCGCCTCTGATGATGCAGTTCTGGTGTATGATGCTCTTGCCATTGAGTATGATGTTCTGACTGCCACAAAGCACTGAGTTTCTGCACACCTTATTCCCAGAGGCGGTCTCTATGTACTCCTGCGACACATAAGTCTTCTCGGGTAATTCCATGATCCCGAATCACAACTAAATCTGGAATTTAAATTGACCATTTTATATTTTCGTTGACTATTTTCCAAAATTCGGACTCCCGCAGGCAAACTTGCATTTTCATACCTTTAATGACACACTACACCTTGAAAACTTTATTTTTCATTAACCCTTCCCTTCTCTACTTTAGTTTGAGTGATTATTATTATAACATTGATAAATTAGCTTCTCTGCTGTTTGCTCAAAAACCGTCTCGGATTTCTATAGAAGATTGATATAAACGAATTATATTTGATCTATTATATATAGTTCGACATTGGAATAATTTGAATTTACCACATCCTTGTACTGTGATATACTATAGTGTAGACTGAACAATTAATTCGAACTTTTGTCAGATAAAAAAAAAATTTTCAATTAATCGATTCATTCGATTTTTTTTTTAGTTTATAAAAATGATAGTTTATTGTTCAGCAGCTAAAATACCATTCCTACATTTTCACCACATTGCAATTACATTGAAGCCAAAAAGCACCGACTCAATTTGACAGTGAGCAAAATATAACTCTTTACTTTTTACACCAAATGATTTTTAGTACTTTTTCGAAATTTACAATTGAAGACTGGGAAGAATGGCCACAAATATGACATTAAATATTCGCCTCATTAATAACTCGAAATGCAAAACATCACACAAAACAACCCAACAGTACTCGCAATACATTTTATACCGCAGTCCAATTTAACCATAACTTTAGCCACCGATAATCTTAAGCAAAGATCACAAAACTTGAAATGTCTCCGTAATTTAAGTTTTGACTTGAAAAAAAAAAATGAATAACCAACAAACACAACTTCCAGCTATGAACTAAAACTTGTTCGAATGCACCCTTAAACTATAAACAGATTATTATTGTTAGACAACAAAAAATGCAAATGTTGATCTGATGATTTTTGCGGTGGCGATCGTCTCATTGTCGTTTCCTTTTTTCGAATCTTCCGTCCTCCTCGGAGAATTTGTAAAAAGTTCAGTTGAGGAGGTTTCTGATCTCTTTATGCATGTGACATAAAAAGTCAACATAGCTCGGTGAGTTGTCCATTCCCTTATCTTCGAGGAGCATTGTTCGGAACCAGAGATCCAGCTTGTCTCGCTGCTTCACGATGAAAAGCTGCCAAACAAAATCAATTATCTAATAAAGCATTAAAATCTAACTTAGCAAAATTCTATTTCTACTTTTTAAACTTCAATATATTGCTTATTAAAAACAATCAAGCGAACATGAGCTCGAGTTCCGATCGAACAATAACTTAAGTAACAATAAAGGTTCAAGATATCTGATGTAGATTTCATTTTTTGAGTTTATTTGAAACAATCGATGTAGTAGCTGATTCCAGAAAACTCATCAAGGGCAGGCTTTCAAATTAAACATAACCAAAAGAGAGAACAGTCCCTTGGACGCAGAGGTAAGGCTGCGCTTCGCAGACACTAGCGACACTATGACACAAAGAAGCAGCTCTATAAATTGAATAAATAAAGAAGAGACTCGAATTGGAATGTGTCGTATTTGATACTGCTACCTCGAGATTGGGAGTCTCACATCCTTAAAACTCAGCCAAGGACGCTTAACAATCAGCAAACCCTACTCACAAATGAAACAGAGAACAGATGCTACAGATCGTGAATATAACAAGAACCCCACCAAATGAGCACTTTTATTTGCGATTTAGATATTAAAAAATTGAGCCACACTAATTCACTACGCTAACTAGTGTCAAAAGTCAATGGACGCAAGGAATTAACAAAACTGACTTGTTTTCTGGAAATAATTCATTTATCGGATTTCGCTGTGCTAAGTGAGTTCTGACCACAATAAAAAAATAAACATAACCAACACATAGTTGGAAAAGAGTCAACGAACGCATTAAAAAAAATACTGACTTGTTTTATTTTAAAAAATCTAAAATTCGGAATTCCTAGAAAAAATAGATGACCTAAAGCTTTTTGAACTTCTAGAAAATTTATGATTGACTTTTTTTGATAAAATAAACCCAACTTGAGAAAACTATATCAAGTATTAAAATTTCACTGGGAGATCTGATAATTAAATTCCATATTGAAAATTCGTGACCTTTACACTTTTTGCTGTTCGACAGCGGAAGTTTGCTTATAAGAATCTGAACAACGGTCATCAACACTTAAAAGATATATGGCCCAACGGCTCTAAGAATTTCTAGAATAAATTATGATTGACAATTTTTTTGATTAAATTAACCCAATTAGAGAAAACAGGACTAAAAGGTAATTTTTTCATACTGCTGGGTAATCTGAAAATTAAATTCCACTATCGAAATTAAAAATCAATCGTGTTTTTGTGGCCTTCAAATATTTTCTGCTCGATAGCGGAGTTTACCTTCTTTTCAACGAAGGAAATGAAGTGAACTTGAAAAAGATCTACAGTTGAACCGCGAAAAAGTACATTTGCGCTTGAACAAATTTGAAGACTTTCCTAAAAACTAAAAAATAATCACGAATTCTATAAGAGTCTTGACTACGTTCCTCGACTCTTAATAGGAACTAAAATTTCATCTAAGTTGTCTGCGCTTGAACATCAAGTTTTCAAAATTTACGCATGCAAACGAGCACTCACTTTCAGATACTTCTTTCGCTCTCCTCTGATGCTGGATATGATACTTCTCAATTTCTCATTCAATGCCGTCTCCGAAACAGGAACTGCGTGCCTTCCCGGCCCTTCTGTGTCCAGCTGATTGACTGAGTCGACACCAAACACTTGTTGCATCCAGTTCGGGCTGACTGCCTGGCCAAGCCAGAGAACCATGAGGAGTCCGTTTTCCAGAATATAGCATCCATGATCTTCCAGTTTGTCTGCAGAGCAGCGAATAGGGTTCGGAAGGAGTTGCTGAGCCGATGAGGAGGACTGGGATCCCTGCTGCGTCTGGTCTCCGGATCCTGCCGATGTCTCAATATTATGTAAGGGTAAAAGCCTGGGGTAGAAATATGCACATGAAGCGTTAATAGTCATTGAGTTCAGTAGATGCATGAGATTTGCTCTGTTGTCTACAGTAATGTCACTGGCACCTGAGAGTGCTTGACTCTTGAGGACGTTGTTGGCGTAAACTGGAAGCAATTTCATCGATTCAGGCAGAATCAGCTAAACAAAACAGTTTTCGAACTCAAGAGAACTAGGCAACAGAAGGGAACGATAAAAGTTCGATGCTTTGATTTAAAAAAAACTTGAAGACGTAGCCACGCTTCTCCTGTTCGTTAATAGTTAAAAAGAAAAAACAGAAGAGCCATGAATATGAAAGTTATCAAAAAAGAAAACCTTGCACTATCTGTGAAAGCAGATCATTTTAAAATCAGCACCTTATACATTGACTGAAATGAGAAGGAACCGTGGGGGTGGGGAATGTAGAAATTGTTTAACTACCTGTCCAGGGGAGGATGGGTTAGCGCAGTTTTTCCTGTAGCAGGCCAGACTATTTGCACACATGTCCACCATCTTTTCCTTCACCTAAAACGAACAACACTCATCGCTCACCTAAGGTCCTCCAAAATACAATTTTCTGACGTAGATATGATTTATATAGCTTGCAAATACTTAAATTTTAAATAAGTATCAAGTTAATTTTAGGCATAATTTAGGCATATAAGCTCATTATAGCAGGGGCGGATCTAGGATTTTCAAAAATGGTACAAAGGGGGGACCCTTTGGGTCGGCAGGGGATCCTATGCCCCCTCCCCCCCCCACCCCAAATCCGCCCCTGCATTATAGTATATATCAGCAACGCTTTGTGTTCAATTCAAAATGAACGTTAATTAGTAGATTAGCCATCTATTATGAGATTTAGTGTTGTGACGCGCGCTCATCAATCAAAAATAAACTCATCCTGCTTAACATTCAAATGTGCCTTCTGAATATTTTTAAGGGCCGATCGGTCGAAAAAACGGTGCAGTTATTTAGCACCGAGCGTAACTTCGATAAAAGATACAATCATAAATTGAAGTTTGCGTACGAGGATGGAGTTGACGTGACTTATGAACATTCTATTCACGACTGACCTGTTTAGGGTTGTCTTTGAGGAGTGCCCTGGCTGCCTCTTTGGCCATCCAGTTGATGAATACATCTGTCTCCACTGCCTTGTACATGTCACTCAACTGAGTGCAGCAGCTGAAAGACATATTGTGGATACGCAGTCTCCTCTCACCGCAGAACGAAGTATACAACAGCGCCACCTGCAGAACAGAACACGTCATCTATTCAAATCTTCATTTCAAACATAGCCAACAGACAGTTGGAAAATTATCAACGAACTCAAGAACGACTGAAAAACTTTTTTTTTAAAATTCAGTTGTTTTTTATTTTAAAGAGTTTTCAAGTTTCGAATTTTGGAGAAAAATATATCATGTTAAAGCTCGTTGAATTGAAAGAATCTTCAAGGGGAGGATTTTTTCCCAATAAAACTAGCCAAATTAAAGAAAAATGTGTCAATATTTGAAAATGTTATCTTTTTTTATGTTGTAGGTAACTCTCGTTATCAAAAGGTTGGTTTTTAATTATTTAGTGTCTACCTGCACATGTGCGCCAGCATTCTCGTCCAACTTATCATCGTGTTTCAACTCGACTAGAATGGCCTTGTCGGGATCCATGACACCCAGCTCTACATCTTGAGCTGTCTCCATGTAGAAGTTGCCGAAGAAGTCGCAGGGTCTGATACCTGCACTGGTGCGCACTCTCACCATGGCGTCGAAGCCATACTCCTTCTGCACACAGTTCGCCAGATCTGACATCAACATGTCCCCGTCCACTGTTGGCTACAGAAAAAAACACAGGATTACTTATAAAAACTGAACTGAGAAATAAATGATTTACATTGGAAAGAAGTGGACTCGTTTTATTAAACAAACGTTGCTTGTATAAAAAAATTGTAATTCAACTCAATCACTTTCTGGATCTCTACAAGTTCCCCCTCTACAAGTAACATGAGAGCAAATAGTTTCCAGGTAATAAGCTCGCATACGCTTTAATGTTGTGCTAGTTCTTTATGGGAGTGAGTAGTCTTTACTATGTACAACAGGGAGGTAGTTAAAGGGATCCCAGTTAGCAAATCAGGAGTAGTTACCTGGAAATTGTTGTACAAGTGCAGTTGTCCGCCTGTTAATTTAGGCACCTCTTGTAGAGTGGCAACATCCATGTGTGCGAAGGGGAAGAGAAACAGGTCCACGGAACAGCCTGCACGCACACATTCCACGCCCACTTTGGAGTAGAAGTCAGACTGGGGCTTCAGAATAGTCTACACACAAACACAAATATTGATCACGATAAGCGATACAATGAAATATATCAGGTGAAAACATAATGTTAGGCCAGCATACAAAATACGATTATCAAGACGAGCTGAAAAATGTATGAAGGACCATGATAGCTTTATTTAACTCAAAAAGAGGCTATTTCCAGGACAGAAGAAGCGAATGACCAAAAATTTTCAATCAATCATCACATTTTTAGCCTATGACTTGATTGTGTTCCTAATTTTTGATCGTTTGTGTAATTCTGCCTACTTGCTTTTAGGTCATCTGGGCTGGTTATTTCAGGATTCATACGTATTTTTTACTAAAGGGTAGCGGATCTATTTTTGCGGCAGAATGCCCGGACCGCAAAACATTTCCTACAAATCAAAGCACTTCAAACTTCTCAAAACGGCCACTTTTAGACGCTTGTGTCTGTAAATAATTTCCATACTGAATTCTGAGTTGTCATTGTAACTTTCTGTCATTTAGTTCCTCTGCGACGAAAGGTTTCTATCACAGAAAAATATGCTCTCACAGAAAACTAGGATGAAAGACCAATATATGAAAGACTGAATTCATTCTGCGATGGTGTTGAAATTTTAGAAACAAAGGAATTGTTCTGAACATATTTCATGAGCATCCAACGACCATCTATAGATAAAGAATAGCATCTCGGCCGGCTCAAAATTTTGCTGAACATCCTGGCGATTTAAGCAAACTTGAAATAGCTTCCGTCGAAAACTTCAGGTGAGATCTGATCTTCAGACATATAATTGATATTCGAAATTAACAAACCTTCTCTTTCTCTGTTCCTAGGAGTTTCTGTTGATCTCTCGGCTTCAGTTTGCCTGGCGCTTCTCTGGTCGGCATTGCAGTGTGAAATACGAATAATTTTCCTGACCTTCCGTCTGATTTGAGAGCATCCAAACCAGCCTGCATCACTGGTCCCAAAATTGGATCAGTTTCCAAATTGTTCGCAAACATTTTTGGAATCTGAGCGAGAACCCTGTAAAACGGAAAAGCGAACAATTGCTTCATAAATTTAAAATAATTGGTTTCAAATTATGGCGCCATTTACAATTAGTCAACACTCAGCTTGGAAATCTTAATATTTCGTTAAAAAAGAGCTTTACTAACTTTCGTTAAAAAGAGCTTCACTAACTTTTCGATAATATCTTTGGTTTCATTTGTGAACTCCACCAAGAAGCCTTCGAGACTCGGCAGAAAAATGTCAGTCGTGTCTGCTACCACTTGCATCTGCGGACGACTTTGCGATTTGCTCAAATTATAAAAATGCACCACGTGAGAATATGTCGCAAACCCAACTCTAAGAGGCGAAACTTCTGGGTTATCCGAGCTCGTCGATTTGGGTAAAACTTCCAAAATGTGCTTCATTTTATTGCATAACAGTTGCACCATACCAGATCTGATGGCAGGGGCTGACACATCAATCATAAAAATGTACGCAGGCTGCTTCGGTGCCTTTTCGTTTTTGCAGTACTCGACTGGAGCCAGGTATTCATAGGAACCGACACACAACTCTGCGCGATGGAAATTGTCCATTCGTAGTCCTGTGTGGTCCAGGTGACAGAAGTAGGGCTCCGGAACTTCGTTCACACACCCACACAGAAGGCACTCGAACTTGCGCCCGCCATCTACAAATACCATCAGAGGGGACATGTACGCTTTGCATCTGTTGCACCTGATGGGAATTCGCGTCGCCGAGCAGTCGGCCAGCGGAACTGGGTTCTGAAAAATAAACGCAAGTTCAACTTCGACACAATTTTTGTCAATTTAACCCGTGATTTCCAAAATTAAAATTTTTCAATTCAAACCTTAAATCATCTTAAAAATCCATATCTTGTCATCGAAAAGCTTTGATTGACTGTTCCGAGTTGAAAACGCAAATCTAACATTTGCTGAGTTATTTTGAAAGTTTGCTAAGAGAGCAGCATGTTTCAGCATACATTAGAAGAATAGTGGATTATTACCTCTCCAGGAGGAACTGCTGCCAATGGCTGTAGTGCCAGACAAATGGGGATTCTAGAATTGTTGCACATGTCCTTGGTTGTTGGGATGCTGTAGAGTGTGGATCTTAAGAACTGTGGTCTGCAGTTTCCTCGGTCAGCAGACACGAATTTAGTCGTACACAAGGGAGGCACTCCACCCGGCTGCATTCGACTACCGGTCTCGAAAGTTTCATCGCCTCTCGCTCTCTGGTCATCGGCCAGCACATTGATCTAAATAGACCAGATTATGTTCAATCATAACAAGCTTTCACGAATAGTTATTTTTCAGAAATTATTCAAATTCAAATAGGAGACTTTTATAATCAGACCACTCAGTACAAAGGAATACATTTTACCAGTCGAACTATATTTCACCAGCAATCAACAAACTGCTAATTATGAAAGGTTAACGGAGTTTTGATGCTAACCGGACTAGGCATCATATCTGGATCCAGTCTGTTTCTCTGCTGCGGTTGCTGAGGGGGTCCCGGGGGAGAATGCGGCTGAGTCATCGAGTGTTCCATGCCTCCTGAAGGAGCCATGTCTAAAGCCACAAAAATAATATAAAATCGGCAAAATATGAATGACATTTACGAGATTCGAAAAGTATTCCAGTCACCACCACCGGGAAAAGCACTCGGCGTTAGTCAGTCGATTGAGTGATTATATTTTGAAACGAGGAAAGAAGCCGACAAACAATTATAACTCACTACAAGAAACAAGTCCATCTGCTAGAGAAAAACAACAAATTTTAAGTAAGAGAAGGTTAAAAAGAACTACGGAGACGCAATCTATTCTTACTATTCATTTGATTCGGCATCGGTGGCTGTGGTGGATATCCTGGCGCATTCATGCCTCCATTTGCATTAGTCGGATGCATCGGTGGATATTGACCAGCAGGTGGTCCTCGAGCTCCCATGTTTTGACCAGGGCCTCTAGGCATAGGCGGAAATCCCGGCGCTGATGGCGGAGCGTTATTGACTTGAGGACCTAAAACTGTTCATTCTTCTAGGCCGTGACTCGCATGCCGATCTTAATCTGACCAAAAAGACACTAACCTGGTGGTGGGGGCGGCTGGGAAACGTATTGAGGCCTTTGACCTTGGTTTGGGTTGTTCTGTTGGTATGGATTTGAGTTGTACTGGTAAGATGGTGGATGCTGGGGAGGTTGCGGTGGACTCGTATTCTGAGGTCCATTTGATTGAAAACTTGGCGACTGGTTTACTTGCCCATGGTTATTACCTAAAGACTGCATACCCATGGTTTGTTGTGGATAGTTCATTTGTCCTTGAGTATTGCCCACGGGGGGCATACCCGGGTTCTGCTGCGGAGTTTGTGTTTGGGATGGGTGATGTTGCTGGGTGGTGTTTTGAGGTATACCGGGAGTTGATGATACTTGGGGCCTCATGGTGTTAGGAGGGTACGCCCCATAGCGAGGTTGTTGATGTTCATGATATGCATTTCCATTCGCCATACTCATTCTAGGCTGTTCCACTGCCGATGGCTGTGTATGGTGCTGCTGGATATTATAGTTATTTGTTGTGTTGTTTTCGGAGTTATTGGCTGCTTCTCGATTACCAGAGGCCGTATAGTTTACTATCCCAGGTCCATTTGCTGAACCATTATGACCATTGGCAGACCCATTCATTGCATTCTGGCTGGTATTTTCATTAGTTGGTTCCTGAGTCTGTTGCCCGTGGAACTGACCATTGTTCGTCTGCCAACTGTTTGTTGATGGATTAAATATCACTGAACTGCTTGTTTGAATTGGCGGCTGCTGCATCTGTGGACTAGGTTTTTGTACACTAAACGGCGGAGCAAACGATGACGGCGGAGCAGGCATCATTCCCCTTGGAGCATTCTACAGATCGAAACAATTTTTCAACTGCCACAAACATTTTTGCATTATATAAGAAAAAAAGTCACAAACCTTTAGGGACATACTTGCCATCCCTGCGTTCAGATGATGGTTATTTGACGCCATTTATTATCTTTAAATCAAAAAATCGAATGAGTTTAGATGTGTGACATTCGACCAGAATGTGAAAAATGCAATCTCTGTGGAATTCGAAATTTTAGCAGTGTAACATTCGTCTACTGCAGTCACACATGAGGCTTAAGAAAAATAGGCCCTATAACCATTGGCTCAAGAGTCAGGGACACTATCTCTTGTGTTTTTGTACCTCTGTAACATTCGCCCGGAAGATACATATCGACGGATAACAAAACTAAGTCTTAAGACGACTGGCTAGCGTCTAAACAGAGCTTTGCATGTTTTTCACCGTCTCTACCAAGCCAGTACTTTTCGGTGGTCTTTCTTACATCAGGCTGACAAAAACGTTACTGTTCTCCGGCTTCGACCAGAACGCTCAAATTAACTGAATTACATGCAAAGTTAGTGAGCTCATGGCTGGGTCTCTGTATCCCCAGACCACGAGGTCACTCCTAAAAACAGGGCTACTACTTATTATATTACTATTGTTTTTGTTCAGTAGATAAAAATCATCATCTCCATCGAAGATGGATCAACCCTTTCCCCCCTACTTCTAGCTCCTCATTCTTGTCAAAACGAATTAAGATCTTAATTAAATTCAAGTCAGGACATGACGGATGCTAAAATTCAATATAAGTTCATAAAAGTCCACGTCCCGAGACCCTTCCGGATTCCTGAATCCGGTGAATCAAGCTTCTTAATATCCAGTTCACAATAACTCGGAAGGCTGGGTTTTACCCTTCACCGTTGCTCGCAACGGCCTTGCAACTATTGTAACAGCACAATAGTTGCAACTCGGAACGCCCTCTGCTGTTCGGTAGTTCGTTGTTGTTTTTTAGTCTCGATTTCGTACTGTTCGTAATCGCAGATAAAAGTTGTTCTGTTCTTTCTGCTATTTTAGCTAAAATGGCCGTCTCTGACGTTTCTCAGAAATATGACGTCATAATTCGAATTTTTAAAAATTAGAATTCCAGAATCTTCTAGCCTTCACCGTTTGGCTAATCGTTCAAATAACGTCCTTATCCGTTCTAAATCGCCAATTCGGAAGGCTTGCTGCTAAAATACCGAATTCTGCAGAGACTGCATTTTGGCCATTCTGGTCGAATGTCACATACTCCCCGGACAGTCCGGTCAATGTCCTCATTGAATCGCGCAATGTTCTAAATGGTTACAGTGTCATCGAACAGAATTTACAAAATGCACGAAATTACTTTTACCTACGTCACATCGACTCACTGCAGAATATAAATGGCATCATACTACATCACTATAGCCTTCAAATTCTTTCATTAATCTGCACATTGAGGATATGACTTAAGATAAAACATATTTTCTGACTTCCAGTGTCAATATCCCGATTGAAACTTTTTCTCCTAGATTTAAAAGGTGTTGGCTTGCAGGACAGTCCTGCCAACCAACAAGCTAAAATTATCCTACTATGCTCCTTCCCTTCGGAAATCTTGCTTGTTTATTGTCCTGAATATTAAAACTAAGAAACTTTGTGGTTAGAAAGAACAATGCAACAACCTCCCTCCTCAAGAAGTTACTCAAGTTTTTCATGTCACCACAAAGTGATCAGTCTTCCTAAGTGATTAAAAACAATCATGCAGGCTGGAATATTTAAATATACTCTTCCCTCAAGCCTTTCTAAATAAATAATAAGTGAGTGTCTCTAAAGCCACTTCAACTAAAACCAAAATGCAAATTTATAAATGCAACAATTTCCAAACTCAACTTAAATGTTTCAGTTTTCAATTACAACTTGGTTGCTTGGTTTCTCACTTGAGTTTTTCACACACATAAAACAATTCTGAGTTTTAACTTTTCTTCATCATCCCTTTGTTCTCTTCTTTTTTCGTCGTTTAGAAGTTCTAAAACTTCTAAATTCTTCTAATTTTCTTTCTTGTTGCCTCTTGTTTTCTCGACCATTCATCAATGCTCCATTTCCTCCTCCTGTGACGCTGACTCTGCACTCTCGGTCTCCGTGTCTTGTAGCACGTCATTGACTATCCTGACGCTGTTGGAAGCCGTCCTCCAACACTTCTGCTCTTCCACCCTCTGTTTACAGCAAGGTAGGGGATCCACGTTTGATTCTCTGTTTCTACAGAAGCTGTTGTGGAGACACAACGCCACGTTTCTTTCCAAATCTTCTTTCAGCATCTCTGCCCTCTCACTTCCACTACGCTCGCTCGTCCTGGAAATTCTTTTCACAGCGGTGGTCACTGCATTCCGATGGGTCACGAAAGCTCGCTTGAAAGCTCCTGCCCCAACGTCCAGCTGATATTCACTGTACACTCTGCCATGTTTCGACATATGCTTTTTCGCATACTCGTACAACCATGCAGTCATGTTAGCTCTGAACCAGGGCATCAATCGTTTTCTTGCCCATATCCTCTTCACTTCCATCGGAATGTTTAGAACTTTGCACATTGTCTCAAAAAGATCTAAATCTTTTAGACAATCTAATTTCTGCAATTGTTCTCTCGTCGGTGCCTCCTGTCTATTATTTTCTCTCACATGAGCTTCCAGCCATCGTATCGCCATCATAACTCCCACTATCACTATTGTTATGGGCTGTGATGAATCTGGTAAACCCATGGAGAGCAGCTCTCCAGAGTCCCAGATCAACACCAGATTACTACGCTTGGGATACCACCAGGTCTGCAGCAAGCAGTGGCAAGGAAACTCGTCATGTGTCAACATGATGCTCCTCCAATTCCGTTTTCCCGAAGCTTCCAGCAATGGCTCCACTTCCATCATCACTCGGTGGATCTCATCATTCTCATCTACTGCATTGTAATCTGTGACAGTTGATCCTCTCTGTTTCTGTTTTTCAAAGTCACTGAAGTTCCCGCTCACATATCCCATGAACTTCTTTCCTAGTATTGACTCCAACTCCTCTTTGGTTCTTTCTGGGACTGCTGAGAACATCTTACACAGTAACTCGTAAGACTTTTCAGACATCCTCGCTAACCTCACACACTTCGGCACTGAGAAGGCTTGATCCACAATCGTTCTTGTACTCTTCACGTCCACAGCTACGAAATGTACAGGATATCTGCTCTTGCACATTGGAGCCAACATTGAACCCACCAAATATCGTGCTCCTGATGGTCTACAATAAGTTTCGCTGTGTCTGATGTTCATCTCCGTTTCGATTGCTTCCCTCCATTTTCCTATATACTTCTGCTCAGTCTGCAGAACCCCTGGGAATACTTCTACGCTGATGGCTGTGACCATCTCATGTTTCTGTTCTAGATTCAATAGTGACTCTAAAGAACCAAACATGCTGTAGAATCCTAGTGCTGTCACCAGATTCACATCGGTTCCTCCATGGCAATCTGCTATCAGTTTCGTTTCCGTTTTTGCTTTCATCACTACGTTTCCAAACAATACCGTCAACTGCTTGTGTTGTTTCTCCAGGGTTTTCACACAATCTAGACTTCCACAAACGTGACCCTCTAGTCCACAGACTTCCGCCAGACAGCTACCAGGCTTGACCCAGTCTTCTGGTCCCCAGCCAGGCAACTCCACTCCATCTTCTCCGTTGCTCTTAGAGGCTGTTGTCATCACATTATATATGATGTTGAGGTCACGCAGGTTACAGTCCACATTCAGTTCCCTCTGTATGTCCTGTGTCGCCCGTAATATTGAGTCAGCGTTGGGACTAGGACACCACGATGGCTTCATCAATTCCCACACTGCCATCAAGCTCGTTCTCAGTAATTCATCTGAGAATCCCAACCCAAATTCCACTCTCTTGTCGGATTTTGGTACTGAAGGTGCAGTCACCTCTTCTTCCAAGACCAATCCCAATTTGGCCTGTGGATTGTTAACGCTCTTAGTTGTCACAATTCTGGACGTCCAGAATCTTAGTAACACCGCCTGCTCATAATCAAAGAAGCAATCACGTATGTCTTCACTCAGGAAAGGATTGTATGCCATCCCTATAATCCCGGATACATAGCTATATGACTTCTTCTTGATCGGTCCACAGTATTCACTGGATTTTGGCATTGCTCCCATAGACTCTTTAGTGAGCCTCAACTCCTTGTTTGAGAATCTCCTGATCTCGTCTATCTTTTTCATGGGTTCCAATTCTTCAGGTTCTTTCATGTTCACCCTCATCGGTTTACTTTGCTGCATATCCAGCATTGCTAGCAAGAACATGGCTTTCGTTCGCTCATCGCCTTCCTTCAACATTTTAACACAAGTGCTTAATGCAGGTACTGAAATCTGCTCTATCAGGAATCGAATGAAACAGAGAGCGTCTCTCCGCTTTGCACACGCTACTGCTGCTCCCTCCTGGACTATCAGATCCCTCAGATTCGTCATAAGGAAAACTTTTTCCTCTTTTGATCTCTTCCTTTCTTCTGAATCATATTCTTCGCGAGTCAGTCCCATCATGCACCAGGCGAGCCTGAGTTGTAATTCCGTCCTTACGTAAGGTACTGCCACGAGAGCATGTATTCTTGGCGTAGTCCTCATTTCCTCTTCGAAATACCTCAATACTACTGCTTTCCATGGAAGGCTCACCAACTGCTCGATCGTCTCCGCCTGTATGTCAGACGACGCCAAAGTTCCGTACGCCTTCTGCTTGAGGGTGGTGCCTTGCAACATTGTTTCCAGATAACCCTCCATGGCTTTTTCCTCTTCCAGGGCCATTACATACCCTCTAGCCGAGTTCCGGTATTCCAACATCTCCATGTATCCACCGGTGGGTTCATCTATCGACACTGTCTCAGACACTGTCAGTCTGTTGTATTCCACTGGTGTTAGTTGTCCTGCAACACTTCCCTTTCCATGATTCATGGGAGATGGCTTGAAGTCCCTCATTTTACTCTCTCCACATTGACTGAGTATTTCCATTTCTAAAGTCGCTCCAGTCAGAGTGCGGTCACTCCTTTTGGATTTATAACCGGTTGACTTTATCCCCGCCATGAGAATGGGTGGCACCATCGCTATATCAGTTAATATTCTATCTGTGCCAGACAATTGATAATCA